GTTTCATTCGTGACAGACTAAAATAGAGATTTTCATTAGAATAGAGATTACATTTTTAAGGATTGGAACAATTTGATCGTGACTAAAACACCACACGAGTACATACGAGTAACATACGAGTAACACACAAGTACATACGAGTAACATACGAGTACATACGAGTACATACGAGTAACATACGAGTACATACGAGTAACACACGAGTAACATACAAGTACACACGACTAACATACGAGTACACACGAGTAACATACGAGTAAATACGAGTATATACGAGTACATACGAGAATTAGCACGCTTTCTTTAAAGTTTTTTTCACTTTCACACTTCACTTTGGCTTCGTATTATGTTCATGTTGTAAATGGCTTCCGTACGAGACAGGGGGCGGGGGGGGTTTTCTCGATTGTGCTAGCATATTTTTTAGCATAATTTGGGTAAACAAGCATAATTTTGCATTTTTTTAGAAAAAAGCACTGCTAGCATAATCTCTAGCCTGCGTGCAGGCCCAAGGGAACTGATAGTGGGCCTGCAACCATCGCCCGGTATTTTGTAATACGCCCCTTTTCATAACACGCCCCATTCGCGCGTCAATTGTCAAAAAAGAACCAATGACAGCACCCAAATATTAACAAACAAACTCGCATTAAAATGTTGCGGGGTTTTCTCTGCTTATTCAGAACACTATTAAATAAACAATGTGTAAATGGCTGCGTTTTAACTCCAAAAAAGCAAGCAACGCAGTCATTAATTGCCAAATTTGCAAGTGCTCATTTTCAACTAAAATCGGAACAGGCAAATTAGGACGAATTTCAACAGAAAACCAGTCTCAAACTTCAAATCATGAGGGAAGTCGTGCGACCACATTAGGATTTATATTATGTGTGCTTCGCTGTCGCCATTGGCATTGTTATAAATAAATTGTCTCACTTATCAGATCGTGTGTGCAATTCTTGTTGGCGGCGGAAAGTACGAAATTTATTTCATTTGGTAAAGAACTCTACAAAAGAAGAGAGCGTTCTGAGTCCAGATCGTTTCGTTTCAAACGGCAATTTAATACCGCCTTCTGTTTCGCTCTCTCAGCGAAGCCTTGTAAATCGCAAAGTGTTTCGAATAGGCTTATAGTCCTTACATGCAACTGCATCTCAACATCAACCAAAAGATAATTTTCTTGAGGAAGTGAGAACACATAACGTATCAACTGAAGTCTGTTTGAAATTAATGAAACTCAAGTAAAGGTTACTATAGTTTACCCCAGTCGTAATTTGCTATTCCAACACCTCACGACAAGCAATCCCCATTGGCATAACGGCAAAAACATGTCTTCCTTCAAGTAAACAATAAACAGTCTGTTCTTGTTCCATTTGTCTATGCCTTTGTCTATGCATTTGTGATGAATCACTGTTCCCTTGTGCCTGCACGCTAGGTTAATTAATTACCAATCGCCTCAGCTAGCCAATGGGAATTTAGCCGGCGGTTCGGCCGGCGAAAATCGAAAACATGGGGTGATGGTTGCAGGCCCACTATCAGTTCCCTTGGGCCTGCACGCAGGCTACATAATCTGCAGACAATTGCCAGACATGTCTAAGTTTCAGAGCAAAATGCTAAAGATGTGAAATTTTTTTTAGTTTTCTTTATACTTGTTCTTTAGAATTTTGTCCAAACACTTGCAGGAAGTGATTGTCAAACAACACTGAGACCCAGTCCACACTCCACATTTCCCCATTACTCAATATCCAAGATGGCGTCAGCCTCTCAGGAAAATATAAACTTACAGGTTGCACAAGGAAGGCAACAGGAAAATAGTGATAATAATAGTGCAAACAGGCCACCACCTGCAAAAATTGCTCGAGAGCGGTGGTCAGATTCAAACAAGAATGAATACAAGAGCCGGGGAGCTTCTGACGTGAAGAAAATTTGTTTACGAGATCGAGTAAACTGAATTTCCAAATCAACATCTGTGTGTTAGAGGTAACGCTATATTTTGCAATGCTTGCAAAGAAGTGATTTCGTCAAAGAAAAGCATTGTAGTTTCTCATTGTTCTTCCAAAAAACACGAAAGTGGAAAAGCGCAGTTACAAAAGTCGAAATTGAGAGACCAAACTATTTCCGAGGCCCTTAGTCGTGAGAAAAGCCAGAAAGAGAGTACGCTGCCCTTAGCTGAGCGAGCATACCGACAGCAAGTAGTGGAAGAGTTTTTAAAAGCCGGAATCCCGATCCACAAAGTTGACAAACTACGACCTCTCTTAGAGAAGAATGGATATCGTCTCACTGGTAGTTCCAATCTCGGGCAGTATATATCCCTCACTTGCAAACAAGAAACTGAAAGAATAAAGCAAGAAATATCTGCACCCGGCAGCACAGAGATGACAAGAGACGTGTCAGTAATATTTGACGGGAGCACCAGACAAGGCGAGGCAATTGCAATCATCGTTCGCTTCATCAATGACGACTGGGTGATAACTCAGCGTCTTATGCGGATTGACATTTGCTCAAAGTCAGTGAACTCGGAACAGCTAGCAAGGGTTCTGAACGAATGTCTGTCAGTCGAATATGGCATCAAGGCAAACTCATTACTTGCAGCAATGAGAAATGGAGCAAGTGTCAACCAAGCCGCATTGAATCGAATAGCCTTTATATTTCCAAACCTACTCAACGTCGTTTGCTTTTCCCACACGCTCGATAATGTTGGTAATCACCTGCTTATTCCTACTCTTTTGCAGTTTGGAAACCTCTGGATACGCCTGTTTAGCCATAGCCACCAGGCAAAATTAGCATGGCAGGATCTGACGGGTCGAAAGCCAAAATCCCACAGCGAAACGCGTTGGTGGTCAAAATGGGAAATTTATCAGCAGCTTTTGGAGCAATTCGGAGATGTTGGCAGATTTCTTGAAATGGCAAAAGATGCGAAATTCTGTGCACTGCAGATTGTGCCACAGCTTCAAGCAATCATGTCTGATCCCCGACGCCTAATTGACCTCAAGCTGGAGCTTGCTGTGACCATTGACGTTGGGCAACATTTTGTGAAGGCTACATATTACTTGGAAGGTGATGGTCCTCTTGTGTTTTCCTGTTACGAGAAGCTGAAAGCTGTTGCCGAGGCTTGCCAGAATCCACATTTTCCAAACGTACGTGCAGTCGCTGTCTCCATTGCAAATCAAGATCCAACCCAAAATGTTGAAACGCTGGAGCAAAGGGCCAAAGAATGTGTACAACCAGCCATACGATGGTTCCTGCGAAAGTTTAATGTGGAACTTTATAACACAGTATCAGCCTTCAAAGCTGCAAGAATAATGTGCCCTGTGGCCGTCCAGTGGTTAGCACCCACAGCCGAAACAATTAAGACCTTGAAGATCTTTCCATTTCTTAACAATGATGCTACAATTGACGCCCTGGTTAAAGAGCTACCGCAGTATGTCGCGGCCGCACAAGACGTGATAATTTCATCCGAAGACTGAGAAGAAGGTCGAATGGTGGAAACATCACGCAGAACAACTTCCCAATTGGTCTTCTGCTGTTAAGAAAGTCCTACTGGTTCAACCGTCATCCGCTGCTGCTGAGAGAGCTTTCTCAATACTTAACGCCTCATTCAACGATCAGCAGCATCATGCACTATCCATACCTAATTTTAGTGTGCAGTGATAACCAATTTGTGCAGTGATAAAAGTAAAATGTGCAGTGATAAAATGTAAAATGTGCAGTGATAAAATTTGCTTTGATAAGTTGTTAATTAACACAAGAGAATGATTTAATTGAAATTGAAATGATGACTGCCAAATTATCGAATTAAATAATAGTATATGTTTTTTGTACGAAAATCATGAGATTCAGGCAATTTTTAGTTAATATCTGGCTTTTGGAATGTCCGGAAAAAATTTTTGACCCTTAAAATGGTACACTGACCAAAATTTTTTTGGCGACGGGGGGGGGGTTGAGGTCGCCAAAAATTTCCGAATATTCTGAAATTTTCTTAGTCATTTTTGGCATAAAATGTGCAGTGATAAAAAATTCTTAAAATTAGGTATGGCACTATCAGATTATTTGCAAGCAAGTGTAATGCTTCAATATAACAAACGTTGAGTTGTTAACTCAGAGAACAATCAACGAACTGTATATATAGTCTGGGCAACAGATTTTGTGGACGATGATAGAGCCATATGAATAGACTATTATGTTGAGTTCAGGAGAAAAGACTATTAAAAGTTACAAAATTTACTTTTTATAACAAAATACGTTGATTTTTCCACTTTTGTAGCATATTTTTGAATAGCATAATATAATAAAAAACAAGCATAATTTTTTAAAACTGGCATAATTCGAGCATAATTTAGACATTAAACCAGAACTGCTAGTAGCATATTATGCTACTTTTACTAGCACAATCGAGAAAAGCCTAACACCGGGCAAGCTGAAAAGTTTGCTTGGCCACCGTGGATGACGTAACACCGCGGAAAAAGTCTGCGCATGCGTCAACCTTACCTGTAATAGTATTGCGAACTTGATGAGAATTCTTGTTACTACTAGTGATGGGCGATACCACCAGTATCGGTTTCGATACGATACCGATTACTTTTTGGTTCAAGTATCGAGGTATCGATTACCCAAACGATTACTTCCTCCAATTTTCAAAAAGTTACATATTTTTAACAGTAACAATTTGATCCGCCATTTTGATCCATAAAAAAACAAAAATTACTTTATTTCACGCCTTTTTCATAATTTATTCTGTCGGCGAGAATAGAATGTCAAATAAAGTATAAAGGAAGTTTGATTAAATTGATAAATGCAGCAAAATACCAAAAAGTACATAATACCAAAAAGTACATAACCATGAAAATGATGACACAACTGCAGGATTATAATGAATGTCTTATTTTAAAAGTAATCGAAGCACTTTACTTTTTATTACCAAGTAATCGGTAATCGCCCATCACTAGTTACTACAATTAAGCTACAAAGATTGAACAGAGACTGCGATAAAATTGTTAATTTTTTGCTCAAAAATGGCATCATACATTGGTGGATATGCACAAGATCGTTTCCAAACTTCAGTCGACAAGAATTTCTTTTGTCCAATTTGTACAGACGTATTGAAAGACCCAGTACAATGCCACAACCAACACTATTTCTGCAAGGCGTGTATAACAAAACATCTTAAATCTTATTCCCAGACATGCCCCGTGTGTATGCAAAAACTGAACGAAGAAGCGCTGGCTAGACCACCACGAATTGTTACAGACTATCTAGATGGTTTGATAATCAATTGTGACCACAGTGAGTGGGGGTGTACTGAGACAATGGAACTAGGGGCACTGAACACTCATGCAGCAATTTGTGCTTATAGACCGGTTGTTTGCTCCAATGATCAATGCAGTGTGATTGTAAACATGAAAGATCACGAAGAACACGAGACAAAACATTGTGAGTATAGGCTGATTCATTGTCATGAATGCAATGAAGACATGTCAGTTAAGAGATACGGTAAACATGCATGTTTATTAAGGAAAGAAGTTGACCAGATGAAAGTACTTTTGTTCGATATAAAAAATCAAGTGATTAAAATGCAAGAAACCCAAGACAGAAAGTTCGAGGAAGTGTTGGATGGGATTCAGAAACTTTCATCAAGCTCACAATTTGTTACAAACAAAGCTACGCCTGCTGTTCTCCCAAGTAGCACACAAGAGAACATTGTTGTCCTAGGAGGGATGAGCAATGGTAAATCACTTCATTCTGTTGAAATGTATTCAAGCCTTACCCAATCTTGGACACAATTAGCACCAATGACAGAATGTAGAGCATCTGCGACTGCACACTGTTATGAAGACCAAATTATTGTCACAGGTGGTGGCAACGACTGGCAATCAACTGACAGCACAGAAACAATGTTTCTTGGGATGATGCCAGAACAATGGTATTCTTGTCCATTTGAACTCCCAGAGAAGTGTCTCGCTCACAGAACTGTGATTCATAATGATTATTTATGGACTGTTGGTGGAACTATAGATGATCATACCTCATGTTGTTCCAAAGCTATTAGCAAAGTGTTCCTACAACCTCCTTTCACCATGATGCTGGAAGCTGAAATGCCACAACCTCTTTGCTATCATGGTTTAGAAATTATTGGTGATAATTTTATGATTATTGGTGGCTCAACAAGTGGATCTATCAAGGATGCTGTTAGCACTGTTTTGTCATACAATATTGTAAGTAAGAAAATTGTGCAAATGTCACCTTTACCTTTCCCCATGCTAGACATGACAACAGTTCGAATCGGAGAAGATGTTCTTATCATTGGTGGCACAAACCAACAACGTAGATCTCTAAACACAGTGTACAAATATAACTATAAGACCATGCAATGTACACAATTACCATCAATGAAATACAAGAGATCAGAATGCGCAGCTGTTGTTTCTGGCCATCAAGTGTTTGTCATGGGAGGTGATATAATTGACGGAGGTTATCACAATTCTGTTGAATGTTTTGATCTTCGTAATCAGGTTTGGGGTGAACTTCCACCAATGAATGAGGCTAAGAACAAACTTACAGCTGTTTGTGTTCCTGCTCGTTTCTTTTAAAACTTGGACGTTTAGAATCTTTGACAAGTGCTTCACAAAATCTTTAAATCTGTTGACTTAGCCAGCATGAAAAATAAAAATGTCTGGTGGTACTGTACTGGCATAGTATTATGTTAATTAACTAGCAATTGTATAACTAGTAATTTTGGAAAATTAAATAGGCCTCAGTGTAACTGTTGTTTGGTACTTTGGTATCATCCTACTTTATAAGACATATTTACCCTACATAAATACTAGTTAAAATTTTAGTTTGTGTGCACAAATACAGATCCTGAGAGCAAGGACAAGATAAACTATATTGAAAGATAGGGGATTCACTTGGGTAAAATAGGAAATATTAATATTGTTGCAAAAACCTTGTTTCCTATATAGCTATGTTTTGCAATGGTGGGCAAATCTGGAATAAATTGTTTCAGCAAAAAAATTCTTGGGAGTCGTGCACAATTTGTTGGCTTGCATTTTTTGTCATTAGCCAAGTAGCTAGTTTCAGATTCCAGTCCCACTCAGAGCACTGAGAACCCCCAAGTTCCCAACATCTTGAATCTGAGCCGTAACAGTAGACAACTTATCTGAAGTGAATGTATAGTATTTCATGTCAAATAATATTTCGTGTCATGCAGCTGCTCAAACTTCAGTTACGAATGTAAATTATGTTGGTCTTGGGCTTTGTATGACAAAAAATTGTGAAAACTTCAGAATGAAGAGGAAGTTTTCTCTATCTTTTTCAGGTAGTTAAATTCATAATGAAGATTGAAGAATGCTCACAATCAAACACTGCCTAAACTGGAATCCCAAATTTGTGCACATATATGATCTCAGAATCAAAAACAAACTCGCAATTAGCCCGACTCTCTTCCGCTTCCCTCCCAAACTCTGCTGGAGCGAAGCGGAAGTAGAGATAAATAGATAAAAACTTTATTTATACACGCTGACCCCGTCAACCGAAGCTGATTTAATTCCACGAGGGGCGTATGCAAAAATAGAAAAAAATCCATAAAGAATGATATTAAGAGCTATTTTCAAAAATAAGGCAAAATACTGAATTATTTACATGATACGAACCAATTTACTTATTACTCTATGTCAATGATGTGAGCAGCGATTTTATTTCTAAAGGAAGAAAGAGTTTTGCTTTCCTATGCTCCGTCATACATGAAGCTATTTTTCATATTGTTAGTACGCGAATTTGGTAAACTAAGACCACTTGAAATTTCCCAAAGATTGTAATTTGTTTTCTCACTTTTGTATGAAAAAAGATTAGTAAGTGATTTGGGACCCATTTTATTTAACACTTTATACATCATTTTTGCCTTAGCTTTCTTCCTTTCTGTTTTGAGTGGTTCCCAGTCTAGTAGTAGTGCACGTAAAGCAATAGAATGATTTACGTCATTGTTATATCCATAATAACTCTAGCAGCTCATTTTTTGAAGTTTTTGGAGTCGTTTTGATTGCATTTCACTAAACACATCCCATAGTTCACAACAGTAGTCAAAGCATGGGCGAACAATAGCATTATAATATATCGAAACGAGAGTATCTTTGTCAACGAGAGTATCTTCGTACAGGCTTTAAAATATCTTTTCCAGGGCCGTCTGACAAAATGTCCGGTGACGTTGAGTTTGGGTCGGACATATGTCCGATGACCTTCAGTTCAGTTTTGACTTGGAAATAAGTCTGAATGACACAAATGAATAAACGGTAAATTTTGTAAAGATATTAAATAATTTGTTTCTTTCATACTTATTTCCAAGCCAAAATTAACTTGCTTGCCAGAACAGCAGTATTAAAAAAGACTTCGACAACTTAAGCCCGTTTTCCATGCACTTCACCATTTCGCTCGCCGCCCCGCGCTCGACTACGTTAAAACAACATTTCCAGTTCTCCTTTTACACAATAGTACTCTGATTTTCCATTTAACATACAAGCCTCTAGTCCTGGTCTAGGGTACATTTTGATTTACGTCGGACAAAGCTACAGTTCGGTCGGACACCAATACACTTGGGTCGGACAAACAATAAACCTCAGTTTCACTTTGGTCGGACAGAATGTCCGGTCGTTTCCTCTCTACGTCGGACAATTTCGCGAATGGGTCGGACAATGTCCGTGACCGACCGATATTTTAAGGCCTGTTGTATATCAGATAAAGATCGGCTGCTCATGTTTTAACTAGTACTTAAAACATTCGGATGAAAATCAGAAATATTTTTTAATCATTGCATGTTTTGAACCTATTAACTTAAACTCAATCTTAGCTACATTAAATTAAGGCTAAGTTTATTTGCGGTTAGCCATTTTAAGGTTTTCTAAATCAGAATTTACTACAGTCACAACGTCAGTAACTGAATCTCCTGAGGCTGTCAGATTTGTGTGGTCATTAAACAACCGAGGTTTTGTTTTGTTTAGACATTCAGGCCGAAATCTTTAATATATAACAAAAAGAATAGTGGCCCTAAAATAGAGCCTTGTGGTACACCACATTTAATCAATTGTTCTGATGAAAAGGAGTTTTTTATCTGGCATTTCTGATTTCGGTTTGTAAGATACGATTTGAGCAAAGTTAGAGCTTGTCCTTTTATTCCATAGAGCTCTAACTTCCTCAATAGAATTTGATGATTAGCCGTATCAAATGTAGTCTCCTATGCAGACCTACTTTAGCGGGTTTAGGCCCGCCACGTACGGTCTGCTTACTTTCGCTAGCAATTCGCCTTCCCATTGTATTCCATTAGCCAATAGCATTCAAATACACAAGACACGCCCACTTTGAATGTCAACTGTAAAGTGTAAACAAGGAGCGTGCGATTTAATCGAATAATAATACGGTATATACGTATTTAAATGGCCTTAAATGTGAACAGATCGAGTTTTCTGATCAATAGCAGTCGAAGTGAATATTTTTCCAACGAATGTACGCGATAGGTCGAAGGCTTAAATGTATATAAAACTATTCACTGGTAACACTTGTTATGAACTTGACGCGACTGCGTGACGGCATGTATTATATTCAATATATACTATTAACAATATATATATCATTAATAATTCATGAAGAAAACACAAAAGAAATCATGGGCGTGAAGGAGTCTGTATATGTGATACGGATTCATGTTGATTTACATAAACTTTAACTTTGATTTTCTCGGCTTAGACAACGTTTATTTTTAAAATTACTTCGCCAATGAACTCATAAGATGAGTCGTTTTCGGCTCGAGTTTGTATATCCGATACAACACGGCCGCTCATGTTGTAAATAGCACTAAGTTTCCGAACGTTCAATATCAGAGCGACATTTGTAATTACGATTTTATTAAACTTTATAAACTGGCTAGTCATATACAAACTTAGAAACCGAAATATGCAATGAATCAATTCAGTATTTTATTTTGGCTGAATTCTGTAGTCTTCAATTAGTATTTATAAATCTATTATCTACACCCGCAGTAATGTACACTGCAACTTTAAAACTTTGTCTTGACGTCTTTGTCCAGTATATTACCCGTGTTGCAAACGCTTGTAAAGTAATCAAAACATCGCGAAATATTTTAGGTGATATTGTTCGATTTTTCTACACTGTCTGTTCAAAACAATATAGCTCGACAAATTCTAACAGTTTTACAATTGTTCCATATTGTAAATTTGTGGACTGGTATATCGGTATAACAAATATATCTCTCGGCTCTCGCATATATAATCGGTTTAAGATATGAATTCGTACAAATGAATATATAAAATGTTCAAGATTTAATAAATGTTTTGAAACGTTTAACGACCCAAGCCTCAAGGTCAAAGCCAAAGGTCAAGCCCCACAATTTTCGTGGGTAAAGCTGTGATTGGCTAATTTTGAGGAAAGGAATTCTTGGCCAAAGTAAGCATACCTTACGTGAGGGCTCAGCCCGCTAAGTAGGTATGCGTAGGAGACTATATCAAATGCCTTTTTCAAATCAATTAAAACTACTAGGTTAAATTTTTTCCTGTCTATATTCATATACCAATCATTGGTACAGTCCAGCAATGCAGTTGCTGTGGAGTTAAATTCTCGAAAACCAAATTGTGAATTACTAAAGAGTTTAAATTTTGTTAAATAGTTGTGCAGTTGATCGTACATAATTCGTTCCATAATTTTGCCAATGGCCGGCAAAACTGATATTGCATGGTTTATAGTTTCCTGGAATATTTCGTTGGCCATTTTTATACAAAGCTTAGGTTACCCGTATTACTCTAGCTATTTTCCATTCATCAGGAAAAGAAGATAGAGTAATAGCCTTACTAAAAATAAGTGTCAGTGAATCTGAGATGGCAGGAGCTGCTATTAATAATTTTACAAGAAATCTTATCAATGCCAGTTGCTTTATTGCTAGAAAGCCCATTTAAGAGATAACAGACATGATTGACAGTAACAGGCTGAAAGGCAGCAAATTCTGATTTAGCATCGTTAATATATGTTTCAAAATTGTAATCTGAAGTATCAATTTTGCTGGCCAAATCTGGGCCAATATTTGAAAAATAATTATTAATTAAAGACCTCTGCAATTTCTTCAGGACTTGTTAAATTTTGTTAATTTACATTCAGCTTATTTATTACCGTCTGTTTGTTTTGCCTGCATGCCTAATAAGTTGTTTATGCTTTTCCAAGCCTTTTTAGGATTGAATCTTTGAACAGCTATTTTCGAGGTATAGTATAGCCTAATCTTTTTTTGGCATTCCTTAACTCTATATATTTGCTTTATTTCTAGCTGTTTTACTGTAAAATTTAACCAATCATTTTCTAGGCTTGTTAAAATGGCTTTTCGTTTTAATCTGTCCCTTGTATTTATAAGGTTTTTTTTTATCTCACTTTAATCCAAGGTACTTTCTTTGATCTGATTTTTTGTATTGAAGTGGTGCATGCTTGTCTAAAATTTCCAAAAATAATTTTTTCCAAATCACATAGCATTCGTGTCTCCTGCAAAAAATATACATATTCCCAGTGCTGTTTCAACAGTTCCGCAATAAATTTTTCCTCATCAAAATTTTTCATATTTCTCATCTCAACGATATTTTCTTGGTTTTTTTTTATACCAATAACAGACATTTTTCTGATGGCAAATACTAAAGCTATGATCACTTATACCTGTATGAATAATTAACACCAGAATCAGAAATTTTCTCTGGAGTATTAGTAGTGGTGGTTTTCATAGTTACTCGAGTAGCATTATCTATCAGTTGCCCTGAGTTGCAATAGCTGAATAAGATATATAATTCGTACAATGACTTAATTTTTTTCGTTGGAATGTTAGATTCATTATCTGGTTTTAGCAAATCACAGTTTAGATCACCCAGAATATACATTTCTTTATTTTCATTATCAATAGTTTATTAGTTTTTATCAATTTTTCGAAGTGATCAAAGAATTCAGATAATGCACTTGGTGGTCTATAAACTGTAGTAACAAGAAATGGTTTGCTATGAGGCTTAATAATTTCAATACAAACAGCCTCTAGTTCAGATGGAACTAGATCATTTCTTATTTGTAGTTGATGGAGCTACGCAAGTATATACAAACGCCACCACCATTTCTTGATCTGTCTTTTCTGATAATATCATAATCAGTAAGGTGTACGATATTATCGGTCTTGCTTGCGAGGTTGAATCAAAACTACTTTAATATATATCATTCATTCAGCAGACAGTGACGTTCGCTGTTACTATAGATCTATTTAAGCTTTTTTGTATCTAATTTTTGACAATATGTATACACTGCGATAGCACTTCAAACATATCCCATTCATCAACCATATTAATTGTCACTGTGAATGAATTTTGTAGTCAACCTGTCTTTAATGGCATTTCTTATATCTTCTATATCAGCAGGTGTTACCCCACAGCAACCTCCTAAGAAAGCAAACATGTTCAAAACTGTATAGACAACATATTCGATAGTTTGTATTAACTACTGCCTGTATATATACTCTAAAAACATCAGGGCCATGCTGGGTTTGGGGGTGTAATATCCCCCCAATGAAAAGTCACGAAGGGGACCCAAAGCTTTACAACCAAATTTTCCATTTGATCATGGTTGTTATAAGACCTGGTTAGGAAACCCGGCAAACTTCAAAGAAATTACGCTATAAACAAACATGGAGGATGAACAACTAGCTTGACCCTGCACATATTGGTTTTAATCAATGAGATTTGACCAAACGATGTAACACAAACATACTCCATCGCAAAATGGTGGTAATACTTCGTTATTTGCAAAATATGCCGTAAGATATAGCCCTGGTAGGCAAAACAAATACTTGGTACCCATTCCCTTCGCCAAGCTTTCTGAACTGCTATTGTCAAACAATAGAAAGACAAAGGATTTCCAAACCATGTCATATATATTAATTATGATTTGATCTAAGGCCCCTAGGTATATTTGCTAGGGTCTCTCCACAGGGCCTCAACCTTGAAGGCGGGCCTTTTATAGAGTCCTGTTCCAAAAACTGATTTTTGATACCATCTCAAATAAAAAGCCAGGGCCCTGTCACGTTGTGGACCCAAGTCAAGTTGACCCCCTGCTCTCCACTCTTGGGATCCCTTAAATTGTGGAGGTAGCCAATCTTTGAATGGAGGTAGGTATGGAGGTCTAGGAACCACCAAGTGACCCAAAACTAGTAGTCTAGGGACAGAAATGGAATCAAACTCCAACTGGTATTCGACTCAGGCAGATCCTGCTTCAATAGGTTTCGAATTTGGCTCAATAGCTATTGTAACCTAGACTATTTTTGAAGTTACTGAAGTTGATAGTAATTTACTCCAGGTTTAGATGATAGCGAGATCCACTATCTCCACATGGCTACTGAGTTGACCTGTAACCTCTAGATTTCTTAATTCAAAGGTTTTAAAACGCATATTTTCACACCTGCATGAGTTTGGAGATCAAGGGAGGGGGGGGGGGGCGGCAAAAAAATCCCAGGAGGGGCCGAAGCAATTTTATCCTGCGCTAATTCGAATAAAGTTTGTTTATTATGTGTCGGCAGTCAATTAATGTGTAGTTCTATTAAATATTTTCTTGTGTGAACCAATATATGAAACTAACTTAAACCCAAAAGCTAACCCTAACTCTTGCCAAAAGGAGTCAAACAAAATAAAACACGTTAGGGGGCCCAAAACCTAACGGCACATATGTAGGGGTGCGATGTTTTGTTTTCACCCCTGATGGCATAGTTCGGCCCTGAAAAACACTCTGGTTAAAATTTTCCTGGTTAACCTAGAAATAACCAGTTTTGGGTTAACTTAATATTCCTGGTTAAATTTCCTGGTTATTTTAACCTTTTTTCTATTTATGGTTCAGCAAAACTGCATTTATAATTGCAAAGCAGCAATTACAATCTTCTTGAACAACGGCCAACATTTCTGTTCCTCAGTTTAACCGGCGTTTGAACTTTCTTTTAAGCCTAGTGACTTATTTCAATAGGAATGTTAACCCAAATAGTGTTATTTCGAGGTTACCCAGGAAATTCTAACAGAACATTTAATTAATATTTGCACCAAAAGAAATTAGGCTAACAAAAAGGAATAAAATAAATTTTGATTTCACTACTTATAACTAGTTGGGTTAGATTAGATTGACGATTAAAGGACCACGGCCCCTATTTTCTCTCAAACGTCAGACGATTTTAGCCGTAAAGGAGACATACACATATACAATGTGATACGTTAAACTTCAGATAAAATCTATAACTAAAGTTAAATATCGAGTTGATAGAGCGCGTGCTGAACCAATAAAAAGTATTCAACGTCTGAACGTTATATAATTGTTACACAAGGTAATTTTTGCTGCAACTTGCAATGCAATTTCGGATACAGAACCATGTTATCTAAACAATAGCCACAGGGAAAAGTGAATGTGGCCAGCATTCCACTCTGCCGAGAGTAACGTTACATAACATATCCTTAAATGATGAAAAATGTAGGCAGAATAAACGCTCAAAATTATTGATTACACTAAATTGGATGCTTTCTTGATCGCCTTACAAGAGCGGCAATATATCTCAATAAACGGAACATTGGGATCGGGGCGTGCTTATATACAGTGCATAGATATCTTATATACACTAGATAGTGCATCTAATTATTCTGCAATTCAAAAATTGAAGCCGTGATTGCAGACTCAGGATATTCCCATGAAATGAGAAGACTCGTATGTTTTCTATTTCTTAAACAGGGAACTTAAACATTTAGTTAAACCCATTCCAAATATATTTTCAAACTATTCAAATGATGAAAGTTATTGTTGTTTTTTAAGCGTTTATTAGCAAGTGGGAAACTTCAACATGGCCACCATCTATTCAAATGGGGGTAACCGCTGGAATATTCTTGGCTTCAATTTTACTAAAAGAGATGCGTTATCTAGTGTATATAAGATATCTATGATACAGTGTCACATAGGCGTACGGGAGGAAAAAAGTATAGGGGGCGGACCAAAACTTTCCCATGCAATCTGCCAGGATGGGAACAGCCCGACCAATACAAAACAATTTTGGTTCATAAACTTACCAGAATTCCTGTCGACGAGCGGGGGGAATTTTTAAGTAGCATTGCCCCGTTTTTAAGTATATAGTGATTGGTTTTAGCCTCTCGCACGCCTATGAGATACTTGTATTTACAAGCGCGCTGATGGCAGGGGGGGGGGGATACTTCGTAAACAGCATGGAGTTGTCATTAATCCGAGCGTGCAGTGCATTTCACTTCTTATTAAATTATTTAATAGACATCCTTCAATTGTCTCTAAACTTTACAATTTTCTCGGAATAAATGGTTCTACATCGCACACATTAATTATAAATCTTGTTAGAAAACTTACCAATGATTTTTGCTCCTTGCTCCAGCCAGCCCAAGACATAAGATATATAATCAGGGTTATTGTCAAATCTGTACAAAAAAACAAGTGACTGAGTCGGTACGTTTTGCACGTATAGAAGAAGAAATTTATTGAGCACTATTAAATTGCAAATACATGAATAATTATATTAGGGTAATTAACATATAGGTGTGGTGCTGGTCGCCTGTAATAACCATAGGTGCTAATCGAGACAAGCGGCCATTAATGATTAAAAGCAAAAATTATACATTTACGAACAATTGGGGAATTTAAAAATTTTTACAAAAGAATTTTTTTACTTACAGCTCAAACACACAGAAAAACTGATATAAAAACAGACACAATACAAAAAAAACAGAGATTCGAAAAGGATTTAGATGGCAAAACTGTAAAAGTTATCTTTATTGGATAGTTTTTTTCCCATTGCAGCATGTTCCTTATAATCACTCGAGTGACATGCACGAAGACACTGAAATTAGTCACATGTCCCATCACAACCACAACAATTAATCCTCATGCATGTATATTCATTATTTATTTTTCGTTTTAGTTTATTTTTGAAAGACAATTTACTACGTCGCTTCGCGGTAGTTCGTCGACTAAATTCCACGTTTTAGGACCAACAAATCTAATATTAAATATATTCTGTATTTTTATATTCTATTAAATATATATATGTTATTTACCGGATTGGAGGTCCGTATAGAGAAATATTTCTCGAGAAAAACTGATAGAAATATTTCTGTATACGGACCGACCATACCGGTAAATAATATATATATATATTTTTTTTAATTCCTCCTCTGGATTTCCCCAATCACTCCTCCCGCACGCGAATGAAGCTGCCAAATAAAACGTCGTTTCTATCAATGCTATCGGGAAGAGTAATATCTTTTGTGAGATAGTCGTCTTTAAATTTTTAAAAATAGAAACATTGGCTCTACGGCTTTAAATCTCGCGCGGTCCGTACGGGCTCTTACAGACCGCTCACGTAGCCAATCAGATTGCAGAAAAGCGTAAAATATATAAATTCTGTATATGCATTGCCTGATTCTAGGCTCTACGGCTCTCAACTGTGCAGATGATCAGAATTGTAAATTTATTAACTAATTGTAGTCAAGAACCTCTTTTTCCACCATTCTTGTCCATTATTTGCGTAAACGACAATAGGTTTCGTTGACTTCCCATGAATGCTTGATAATAATCCCTAAAGAGTAAAGCCGGTTAGTTACGACATAGAAACCCCACAGAAGTGTACTAAAAATAAAAATGAAGGTTTGTCGGCTATCATCTTATTTTACATTATAATTATAACACCTGAACATGTTCAGGAGCACTGCAGTTTATCCCAACAGCTTCGACCTGAATAAAAACAAAAAACATCAATATTCATTAGGCAAGTAAGTGTGTGGTCAAATTCGCCCTGCATATATATAAAGTCATCCCCAGGAGTGATATGGGTCTTGTTTACGTGAGATATTAATTATATAAAAAAATACTAATGAGTAATGAACTAATGCGATTTTATATAAAATTTTACTATACATTAAAAATGCAAAGAGGCCAGGGCCGTAGGCAGGATTTTTTCACCAGGGGGGCAGTAAGGCCTATCTGCCGAAAAAAGTCCCAAATACCAAAGAATAATTAATAATGACATTCTAAAAATTGTAAATATAGTTTTCTCTGGGGGGAGGGCAGTTGCCCCCCTGCCACCCCCCCCCCCCTGTGTACGGCCCTGCAAGGGGCTATAGTATCTAAAATGCTCAGGCTATATAGTCGTGCGTTAAAAACTATACAGTCTTAACTTTTAACCATAACGTTTTTCTCCTCGTGGCAAATGTGATCGAACGAATGACATGCAAAAGACTTAGAATTGTTAACTTCTGAAAAGTGACTCTATACTGGCTATACTTTGTGTGCGAGTTCACTCATTTGCATCCGTCAGAAACACAAAATCGCCGACAAAATTGCTGGTGAGGTGTGAACCAGGCTTTAATGTGAGTTGTCCCAAGCATTTCATTTTTTTCTAATTTCATTCCCATTTGTCACTAGACTGTATCGTATTCGTGTAACACTCAAAATAAAACATTTCATTAAGAACAACCTGTTTGTACGTTTCAACTGTAGTAACTGCATCGCAAAATTTTTCACCATGGCAGAGGTGTGTCTGATCCTACAGAATTGAAGAGATATTAGGGACTTTGAGATTGACGTTTACGGCATGCAAACCGTTATAGGGCAACTTGTGCACTGAAATTGGAGCATGAATTAGCTACTTTTAGCTGTCGAAACTGTAGAAGTTTGCCGTTTGTGGTTTGCCGTAAACGTCATAAAGTCTTATTAATATTAATCACATGGTGCATGTAGCGATTAAATTTAAGGTGTGCCCATGGAGGGGGCCGTGATCCACCAGGTAAAAGTGGGTTTCTCAATGAGCCCTGCCCTGATCACCAAATGGGTCCTATTGAGTAACCATTACGAACTCTAGGTGGTTCACGTCTAAACTAAAGGTTCCTGCGATTACAATAGCAACAACAATTTTTTAATGAACACCGTGTCGTTAAAAGAAGTCCACATGACTGCATGTTACAATATCCGACGAAGGCATATTTGATCAATAAATGGCATGAACTTGCCGTTGTAGAGCATCATAAGAAATCGATCTCCAGAGTTGATCACGAAATACAGAAGCCGGATGGTTCTGTAAACGAATTTGGATTAAAAGAATTAACAAATAACAAAAGAAGTAAAAGTCACTGCACAAGTGCGAGACTAAAACTATCTTGAACAGGAGAACTCTTTGTCAAGGATAACATATGTTTTGATGGTAGCTACTTAGCATTCCCATGACAAGGAGACAAAAGGAAAGCATACATGTACAATGATGGAGATACAACAATAACGTGGTCATAAAGAGCACTGGAATCGACGAGGGAGAAATTATTATTACACGATGTCATGGAAAAACGTTGCCGTAATGTCAATGTTAATAATCTAGTACGAATCAAAGTAAACAAATCCAATTATGGCAGTAAGATAAACGAAGGAGATTCCAGCAAATCCTCTATTAGTTTAACAACATCCCAGAGTAACATCTCTCATTAACTTAAAATTGTAAATCTGTAGTGATCCTGGACACTACAGATGTACAATTTTATGTTAACTCCAGGACTACTCGGACAGGAGACCGGGAAAAGCATGGCGGCCATGATGTTTGTAAGTTATGTATATAGAGGTTTATATTGTTGAAATAAAAGATAAAATTGGAACATTTCAACATCTAGCATCTGAATATTCGATCATTGAGAAATACTTCGCACCTTATAGAAACCAGGGAACTATATAGTAAAATCGCATAAAATTGACGTTACGAATGGGGAAATTTCAATTGAACTGGATATGTAATCACATAAGAAGGGCAGAGGGGTCTGTGTGTTTGTCAAAAAGGCCTTTAAATGAACCGGCTGAGTCTGACGAATACATCAGAATCCAACTCTCAACAACTATGGATCAAGCTCCAAAACAAGAAAATGAAAACCATTAATTTGCGTGACATGTAAACCTCTCGACTGTCCTCTCAATTGTTTTCAGGAATCAGGATAATTTCAGACAAAATTATGTCCAAGCATTATCTATGAACAAGCCAATTGTTATTCTAGGTGACTACAGAACCTACTGTAATTTACTTAAAGATGACCCGGAGAAAAGAACAATTACAGAACTTTGCAATGATTTAAATCTTATGCATGCAAATAATCAAGCGGTACCAAAAAGAATTACAGACACGTCGCAATCGCTCATCAATGTTATCCTTGTTTCTACCGAAGCCTTAGTCTTGAAAGTGGAGTATTAAGTTCTGTAATCAGCAATCATTTTCAAATTTATGTATTAACGAAGTTGAAAGCTCCAAAGACACCACCCAGTTACATCACGGTGAGAAGTTATAAAAATTACGATCCTACAGCTTTCTCTTCAGACCTGCATGGCAGCGAAATCGGACCATCTGCATGTTATCCATTTTTACATGGTATCGCTTCGGGACACATTTCTTGCAAATGGCAAGAACTCGTCATTGCTTTGAAGAAGTTAACGTGCAGATATCTTTTAGTATCTTTTAAAATAAATAATATTAAACGTGGTTTTTGCCTGATGTAGAAAATTATCAAGGCCATTGTTTGTGTTATCCGCCTCAGTTTCTACAGATAACACAAACTTTTGGTCTTCATGATTCTTCATATCACGCTCAACCTCATTCAATAATTTAATGGAGAAATCAATCGAAAGGTATTCAATGAAACTTGATGACTGCAGTATACCTTGCAAGAAAACGACACCCAACATATTACACTAGGAAATTCATTTAATACTTGCAATATGGCTTCAGCTTCGACCTAAATTGAATGAAAAATAGAAATAAGACGGCCTGACCAGTTATTATTGCACAATGCCATATCCTCCACTAAATATTCTCCAACTTGAGTAACTTGCACAGAAATTTCTGAGGGAAACATTTCACAAAAAATCGGAGAAAATTGTCAGTGTATAGCTCCGTGCTCAGATATTACTAGCACGCAAGTATAGATGCAAAAGGAAGATCGGTGTAGCAGGAAAAGATGGGCCAGGCTCAGACCCAAAGAACACAAAACCGCGTTGTCTAACGTGGTAATACACTGAGGTCATATAATTCAGTACCAATGCGGGAATGGTTTCCACTGCCAAGAAGTCCACTCCTGCTTCAACAAGAATTTTGATTCTAGGTCTATGCCAACTCTTTAGTTCCTGAAAATGATTTGAAACGGTGCAATTCAGTTGCCAATAAGGCTCGTTGCAATTTTTGCTGCGATTTTAGGTGCGATTTTCCTTTCCTGATGTATGTGAACGAGTAGATGAGTTATGAATGTTTAGATGAGGTACATATGCTCAGAACATTTATAACTTATTCACTCGTTCACATCCATCAGAAGAGGAAAATCGCACTGTCTAGAAATCACAGCAAAAATTGCAAGTATAAACGGGACTATACAATTTTATAAATGATCACATTTTTATAATATGTGTCATTTTCATCAACCCAAAAAGTGTTATTTAAGTGTTCAAAATGTGCAAAATTTCCATACGACTTTCTTTCAAATTTCACAATTAGATGATCAAGATGGGGTCAGAAAGATGAAAAAATATGTAACGTTGTCAAAATGCATGAATTATATATATTTTGGGAAGTTTATGACAATATAAATTTTGGGAAGTTCATGACGGGAAAAAATTTGCATTGGTCGGCCAATCTCGTGAACATCGGGCAAATGTTTGTCCGCCTCTCCATTTTTTCCCTTCCTATATGATTGGATACAAAATCGTCCAATGGAGAGATACTGCATGTTTCTGCATGTCCACATTAGATCAAATTACGGCCGAATGCCACATACTACTATAGCCTGAGAACGAGGCTTCATGCTAAGTTGTAATCATGTTTCTATAGCAAATTAGGAAAAAGCCACGACTTAGTGTTATTTTTCTTGACAATTAGAGCGTACATGTAATTCGGAAATTATATAGCTATTTTTCTGAAATGAACGACTATCTACTCTGTCCTCTGACAAAAATATGACCACTGGAAAAAAATTTTGAAAATCCATAGAAGCTAGGTCATAGAATGGAATTGTATATGTATGGACCTTTATGGCTTTATTGGAAATAGAATGGATTTTGGTTATCCATAATAACAGTATATTTCCATAGTATGGATATAGTATGGAAATAGGATGGATATACTATGGATTTAGTGGTGCAATTGCAAATTTTGTAGTATGGATTTCACTTTTTTTTTTCCAGTGGACCATAACAGTACAACTACAGTTTGTATACCTCTAGGTTCATTTTATCTACATAATTGCCGTGATATTCAGATTTATCAAACTGACATGCCCCATAAGGTCCAACAGATCCGCCCACAAGCAGATTCCGCGACAACTCATTTCCTTCCTACAGTAAATAAAGAGAAAGGGGGGAAAATGGTAACTAAGTAATTGTACTTATCATGTAAGCCAGTTTTGGAAGATTTTAAACTGGTACTTGCATAGACTACGAATTACGAAACGTGTTTCTGCTGGCAGTTCGTTCGCTGAATATGCAGCCATCGACCCTATTAACCATCTCTTCACGCATACAACGCGCAGATTCCTTCTCTTTTACCTTTGTGCAGTGGGGGTTTAATTCGAGATTAGCGACCTGGAGCCTTTCTAACACTACTGTCACTAGCTGTATAAATTTGCTAGTTGACCATCGAAATCTTTTCCCAGGACAATTATATCGTCAAGGTACACCAAGCACATCTCCCACGACAATTTTGCAAGCCATTTTTAATTAATTTCTAAAGGCCCCAGGGGCGTTAATTACGGTGAATTGCCAAAGACCCTTCCAGAATGAAACGGCCATCTTCATCGAGCTCTTTTTGCCAATAGCCACTTTTTAGATCTAACATGGAAAACCATTAACGCATCAAATGTAGTGTCAACACGAGGCAACGGAAACGAGTAGAGCGCGCACCTTTAATATTGTATGGTACGCGTGAACACAGAATATAGAGCATGTCCTCTTATCAAGGTAATGTGAACGACATTGAAAAGTGACTGGCTGACCAATCGACCGACCGTTCACTACGGGAAATAACGACCAAGCCAGGCAATCTATGCAGTATCAGTAACCAAAACGTCCTTCCGGAAAGTACGTCATTTTGGCCATAGAGCGTCGTTTTCGTGATTAAGACATTAGGCTGCAACAATGTACATGATGAATATGAACATTTTCATAACTATGTGTTTGATAAGTACAATATTATATATTCGAGTCCAATCTGTGGGATATACAGAACGACCGCCCATCACCTATAAATATACATATATAATTACACTGTCAAAACTAGCGCCGTTATTTAAGATTACAAATGCGAAATATTTAAATCACCTTATTTTGCGTTTCTTCAAGGAATTCTTGACAAGCTTCTTTCGCTATTGATACGCTCCTTTTTATCACACTGATTGCTGCTTCACTTGTACATTGAGCATGACGACAAAATCCCTCAATACTAGCCTACGAGGAAAATCATTCTCATGAAGAATTATTAAATCCTGGTTTTTGCTCGCAGTTGTGGTGAAAAACTGGTGCAAAAAATACTTAATGAAAAGTCATGATCAATATATACAATTTAATTTTAAGGAGCCATGAATTATGCCTATCATGCTTGCGTGGGCTACTTTTTTGTTCTTAAACTGTCTGTGCCAGTGTATACAGGTAGTGCCCATAATATCTGAAAAATATAAGGAGAATTTCGACATTTCGAGCGAAGGCCCTCCGTCTGGAGATACTGACCTCATCTCTCTCTGTCACTAAACAGACAATGGCAAGAAATGTTATCTATTTGTTAAATACACGCACCTGATAAGAATCTGTCAGTATGATGTTTGCACCACTGTGGAGAAAACTGTTCTTACGAACATAAAGAAAAATATAAGGGAGTTGCAGCACCGTCATTTTCAGTTTTCAACAGTGAATAGTATATGGACTATATGCATATTAGGATGACACACGGCAAACCTTGTATGAACTCTTTTGATTTCACCAGGATTGTCAATAAGAGCTCTTGCGCTCCACAATGGGTCATCCTAAGAACGATCAGCAAACAAATTATAAAATAGTGCCCGGCCAATGTGATATTTTTTTAAATGTTTAAGACTCCAACGTGATATTTTTTTAAATGTTTAAGACTGCTGTTTTCAAACAATTTGAAGCAAAGCGTACGTGGGATGTATGGTTCCAAATCGTCGTACACTCAATCCCGATTAATCCTGCCAAAGTTTCCCCAAATCCAAAGTGTGAAGTATAATCTTGAACGGTGGCATACTGTCTGCAAAGTATAGAATACTGCACTGTCGCATTGATACTCATGCATGAAAATTTGGACAGAATTTCTTCAGGAATTCATATTTTGGCTAAGTCGGCTAACGAATACTGAATGCCCTCAGCTTAAAAACTGAAGAAAAATATTCTTCCACTTTGCATGAACATTGATACAACTTCATTATGGTTTAATACAGAACTATATACTACTATACTATTTTGTATTAGTATAAATTTCCAGGTGACTATTGATTTTTCTGCATTTTGATTGGTCAAGATTCACTGTCTCTGAAGTGATAGTCACTGGTCAGTGACTATAGCTTTTTTTTCAAAATGGCTGCTCGTTTTGCCGTAGTATAACAGAGGAGGAAATTGCCAAAATTAAAGAAGATAGCATTGCGAAAAAAAACCAAAAACAAACAAGCTACAAAATATGGTTTAAAAATATTTCAAGGTAAAATATTAAACTTTACGCGCTTTTATTTGGAAAAAAACTGGCTTAGTCGCAACCAGACACAGAGCCGTGTCTGAGATTGAAATTTTGTAAACAAACTATTTATAGCGAAAATAAATTTATTTGGAGTGAATTTTTATAAAGTTGTGTGGATTATTGTTTGTAAACACCTGGAAATTTATACTAAAACAATTAGTCGCCTCAGGCTCGGTGATTACAAATTGTAATCACCTCGCCTTCGGCAACTAATTGTTAAATAGAATCCTCAGAATCTAAAACTCTTCAATTATTCATTATTTGACGAAAAATTGGTGAGGAAAGATAAAGATTGTTCATATTCTGTTAAAGGGAGTTTTGTTTCACATTATGATCTGAAACACGATTAGATCCTTTAAAATGTGGAAAATTCACAATGTTCCTCAGTCTTTTTACTCCGGGAAATTTTTCCCCAGGATCCAGGATCCCGAGATCCTACTTTTTTCTAGGTCTGCGCGCGGGGGTGCTTGGGAGGAACCCCGTCGTGTCCTCCCCAAGCAGGCCCGCGAGCTCATATATCTTAGCCATTGATCTATATAAAGACACTGTAGTGTGGCTATTTTTAATACGTTATTTGCGCCTGGGCCGAGGCTGGTCTGTGCCAGTGTAGATAGGGCCAATAATAAGAAAGCTTCGGATGGATAGGGCCGATGCAACTATCGAGTGAAGGCGTAGTAGCCTATTAACTTCCTGACGAAGGGCTTTCGCTTTCTATGTTTGTTTAAGCTGCGGGTACAGCAAGTGCATGCAAACAATCCATCTTTTTTCTCAATCCAAAGTTCAATAAATTTGGTTTCACCATCCCACACTTCCTGTTATTAAATTATTTCATAATAACGTATAGTCCGTAATTCCGTAAATGATCTCCAAGCCCGAGGCGTTTGTAAGAGGATATCAGAGAGAGGTGTAAAATGATAGGTTTCTTAAACATTCACAGCAGTTTGCAAACAGTTTTATAAAATAACATGTATATAACGCGTACTCTGATTGGTCGAAACCCGTGGTTGGATCAAGCCATCCAAACACGGAAATTTAAAGTGAAAATTGTTAATTAAAGTGAAATTTTAACACGGAAAGTTGTTATTTTATAAAACAATTACTTTATGGTTTCCGTGTTTGGATGGCTAGACTACGACATGGTCTGTGTGTAATGTGATAAGTGCTACCAAACACTTGGGAATGTTGCTCGAGTTAATAAAAACGCGCAAAATCACTCGCCTTCGGCTCGTGCTTTCGCGCGCTTATCTTAACTCTCGCAACATTCCCGTGTGTTTGGATCAGGCCATCCAAACACGGAAACCATAATTAAGTAATTGTATATTACCAAACAATTTTAACAAAGTCTCCGCCTCTGTCTGATGTTCATCCTCTCACAAATTATACCAAAGAAAAAAGACATCTTTCAATCTACGCAAGAAACGATGCTTTATCCTAAAATTAACACTCAGTGTTTTAAAACCACATTTGTAAATAGCAATTTTTAACTAATTTTTAATTTTTTGCTCATCTCCACTTCTCCGGAAGTGTGAAAGTAGTAGGGTAGAGGTATAGTGTTCTCGGGGAGAGGTAGTGCACTTGAGAACATCAATAATATCAATAATATATATATATATATATATATATATATATATATATATATATATATATATATATATATATATATATATATATATATATATATATATATATATATATATATATATATATATATATATATATATATTTATATATATATATTTATATATATATATTTATATATATATATTTATATATATATATTTATATATATATATTTATATATATATATATTTATATATATTTTTATATATATATTTATATATATATTTATATATATAGAGGATATTTCACGGTGGCGCGGAAATATGACTTTTATTTTCGAGTGGTGAAAACAATATTTTACGAACGAGCGCAGCGAGTGAGTAAAATATTGTTTTCAACACGAGAAAATAAAAGTCATATTTCCAAAGCCACCGTGAAATGTTCTTTTTATTATATGGCCAAAATAAATTTCATCAACTAGATGTTTTGTAGCTCACCGTACGGCAACAATGTTATGTCTCTCCGCTCGTTTATAGAGGCTAAATAGTCGCTGAAGATCGCCAAATCGGACTTAATCTTCCTTTTTGTGTTTTCGTTTTCATTTTCTTCAGAAAACCTTGCCAAATCAGCGTCGGAAACATTAACAAAATGTCGAGAATTTGCCATATTGAATATTCAAAACAGAAACGGCAAAATGGCGGGAATTAGCGTGGGCCCCGCGCGAGACGTTCCCGCGTAAGATATGATTTCATATTTCACTACAGTGAAATACGGGAAATATCAGTGGCGTATTTTACGGTATTTTACTCATATCCATATAATAAATATATATATATATATATATATATGTATGTATATATATATATATATATATATATATATATATATATATATATATATATATATATATATATATATATATATATATATATATATATATATATATATATATATATATATATATATATATATATATATATATATATATATATATAGTGCTCAATACCAATGTACAATAGAGCTTCGCCCATCGCGATTCACCCATCCATCGCCTGAAGATTGCTTCGGAAGAAGCGTGAAACACAGTGTAGCGATAAATGCTCGCTCTAACCACAGACGCTCTGCCAAGGTTATGTTATTTACTAGTTCTGTGTGTGTGTGTGTCAGGGGGGGGGGGGGGCTGATGCCCTGATTACATAACTATCAACAGGTCATTCAACATGTTTAATAAATATTTAAAAAGTGTTTTCAAAGGACTAATTAGGTCAGAAGAGAATTCTTGTGTTCTAATTAATGGACAAGGATGGAAAAATAATTTTCTTCCTGTGGGCACAGCTTGAAGTTAAAATTTCCGGTTATAATTCCATGACACACAGTCACGAAATATATTAGCATAATTAATATGCATCGTTTTCAAATCAATCAGACCATCTGCCCATGTGTCTAGTTAGTTTTAAGTTGCATACTTGCATTACACCCCAATGCACCCTAGCTACTATAATATTTTACTCTATCTAACACCAAATGAATTTACTCATCAAGGGGAGCTAGAGCACTGTTGCTCAATGGGTTAAGGAAGATATATGTCACTCGGTTGGGCATCATTTCACTCCTGTCAGTCTTAAGCTATATACAGTCGAACCTCTATTAAGCGGCCCTCCATTTTATTTCTTTTTAAACAATCTTTTGTGAGGAAGCCTTATCATGAAAGATGGTTTTCATAAGGGTCCTCAAATAAGAAGGAAATAATTATTTACATAAAATACTGACTATAATTATTCAGACTATAATATATATCTACTCCAAACAGAATACAGCATGCAACAAGATTATGAAAATTAATTAATTAGAAATCCTAAGAAAGTTCAAAAAGTTAATTAAATGGTCAACTAAGTCCACACTTAAAACACTAAGATAACAATTAAGCGGCCACCCTCTATTAAACGGCCACATATCGAAGTCCCGAAATTTTTGTAATACAAATACTATAAATTATCCCGGCCACGGCCACCCAAAGAGCGGTCCCAAATGATGTTTTATGTCAATTTTTACCTCTATTAAGCAGCCAACCTGCAGGATTTACTTTGTGCAACACCCTATCACGACAGCCGAGTATAATAAATAAAAGTCGAGCTAATTTGCTTTATTTGTAAAATAAGGCTTAAAAATTATGTTTTAACACATGCCACTTTACACCTCAAAAGCTTTACACCTCAAAAGCATTGACTACACCCAGGGTCTATTATTTGCGTACCTCTATTTAGCGGCCACCTCTACTATAAAGCGGCCGCAAAGCCGATTCCCGAGGGTGGCTGCTTAGTAAAGGTTCGACTGTATACAGTATATACACACATACTGTATATATAGCTTAAGTTTTGGTTTACGAAACACAAACAGTGCTCAATACCATATAGATAGAGCGTAATATAGTTTTTCGTTTTACCTCAAAAAACCACAACAGCTAGTCTGTTTCATCCGTGGTCTGACAATTCCTATACGGATGAAACAGACTGTTGTGGTTTTTTTAGGTAAAACGAAAAACTATATATATATATATATATATATACAGGGTGTATGAAAAAAAACTGAACAGATTTAAAATTGCTCTCAATTTCGAAAAACAGCTATTTGTATCCGGTTTTTTATATATATAGCCTCTTTGGGTACTTATAATGTAGAATAATGAGAAAAATTTCTCGAACTCAAATTTTGTGAACCAGGGTGTGTGTCTTTTCCAACAAACTAAAAATGGCTCGCGCACAAAATTTAAGTTAACAGATGGAAAATTTGTCGGGTTTTTAATTACTGTACAAAATTTCAGACAATTTGGTTTAGTTTAAGCCCCTTAACTATTCACGCAAAGTTACAATTTTCCCGAAAAATCAGCTATTTGCATGCTTAATTAATGCATTTGTCTAATTTGCATATGTCAGCAATATGCAAATTAGGTAAAGGCATTAAATTAATTAAACATGCGAAAGGCTGACTTTTTAGAACAAAATGAATAGTTAAAGGGCTGAAACTAAACCAAATTGTCTGAAATTTTGTACAGTAATTCAAAACCCGACAAATTTTCAATCTATTAACTCAAAATATGATTACAGCTTTTAAATTTTGTGCGCGAGCCATTTTTAATTTGTTGGAAAAGACACCCCCCCCCCTGGTTCACAAAATTTGAGTTCGAGAATTTTTTTCATTATTTTACATTATAAGTACCCAAAGAAGCTATATATATAAAAAAACAGATACAAATAGGTGTTTTGCGAAATTGAGAGCAATTTCAAATCTGTTCAGTTTTTTTTTATACACCCTGTATATATATATATATAGAATCACAGGGCTGCAGGTTCGATTCCTGCTAGGGACCTAAAAGTGCATTTTTAGCAGCTGTTCCTGGCAACTGCCACCCCCCACCTTTAGAAAACCATGGAAATTCAGGCAAATGCTAGGAAAAAATCAAAAATATGTTAAATTCAGGTTATTTCATTACAATCCTCCATAAAAATTCGGGCACATTTTCAGCTGTCCCCCCCCCCTGCCTATACAGTATATGCAGGGCCGTAGCTAGAACAATAATTGGGGGGGGGTGTATATTCATATATTCGTGTTCTGCCCGACGGATTTCTTTTGAAATCGATTGTTTTTACGGTATGTAAACATGAATATATGAATATACACCCCCCCAATTATCATGTCTAGCTACGACCCTGAGTATATGCCAGCAAGTCAGATCCTAGACCCTCAATAACTTATGGCTCTGCCGATCTACAGCCTACAGGACCTTCCCATTGCACTATTGACCATGGGTCCGAGAATAGGTCTTCAACAATTCACATGCAAAATATTTCCCACAGTTAAATCGGTGAAATCGCTTTTTTTAAATATGTCTAATATTATATACATACTGTCACTGGAATGCCTTGTCTTAATAGCTCTGATCCAAGACCTCCATCCAAAATATGGAATTCAGAAAACATAGCTCATTTTAATGAAATCAATTATGTAGTATACAACTTTATATTTAAAACAAAATAAATTTGTTTTTCTCATTAAATACCCGAATACATATCATAGGATAACAACAAACAATGCAGCCCACTCAAGACTTTAGGTGACTATAAATGCGAGTCTTTTTGTTCTGTGCCTGCCTTGAATAATGTGACGTAATGTTTCGAGAAGCCCTGGAAAGCCCCTTAAAATATCCCCAGGGACAAACGCCTCGCAGTTTCGGTTTCGAAAGGTTGTTTATGATATTGATTTGGCAGTGCATTTGGTAGCGGCATTCGAAAGCGATTCTTGCTGACCCAGAAATGTTGCGAAGGCGTATGAAGGAAGAAAGATATAACTATACCACATAGAGATTTTGATGAAAGCATAAAACCACATCAGCAAACGCACTTCCGTCTTTGAAAATCTGTACTCGCTTCGTTCTAAGAATTTTTGAAGAAAATTTTGTATACAAGCTCATTGACGTTGTTTTATAATGAATTGATGACGAGACAGCGAGTATTGGGTGTTTTCTGATTCCGTTATGGATAAAGACCAATCTCTACAACCAGAAACTGAGAGTTATGAATTTGTAAACGAAAGAGACGCTCAAGTTAGTATCAGATCGGATTCGTCTGCTTCGACTGACGCAGGAATTCCACTCAGTGATGCAGAAAAGGCTTTGGCAGACCGTGTACGTCATTTGCAACAAGAAAATAAAGAATTAAGAAACGTTGTAGACAATTATCAGAAAGCATTACAGGTAAAGATATTTTAATAGCAATAAAAATTTACTGATTTAGTTATATTCCAGATAGTGTTCAGTTCCACATATTTCTTAATGCATTGCGACTTAAAATGTTTACAGAAACTAAGCAGATAGTCCGCAGAAAATTTTCTCTTTTATTACATTAACTGCAAATTTATTATATAATATGCAAAGCGGAGGCTGGACAAGCTTTCATTGGCAGGGGAACGACAAAACGCGGACCCCAGGTCTGTGGACTACCTTTGTGGACCTGATCCGTGCCGGGGGTTGACAAAACGTGGACCCCCCTTCTGGATCCCTTTCTGGACCCCATTCTGGATACCTTTCTGGACTTTTAAAAACCAAAAGAAAACATGCAAATTAAGAAAACATTACATACGCAGCTGTAAGCAGTCCGTCCCCAACCCGCATTTGTTGAGATGGCTTCAGCAGTGACCCATAATTCGGCCACAAGACATGGCTTATTCGCAATAAATTGTAAGCCAATATTTGTTGACATTTTTTGCTGTAAATGCAGCGAGGTAAATTGCTGATTTATAGCAACCCGACACTACATTGACAATGTCATTACACAGTATTTTACAAGGTCACAAAAACAACATGCAGTTTATTGAAAGTACTTGTCCCTATTCAAAAGAACATGAAACAAGAAAACCAGTGCAGTAAGGTATTTCTAATTGGAATAACTACGTTGCCCAGCATTATGCCCTAGATTATACGAGATTATATAATGTATCGATCAATTCGCAACATCGCCATCCCCCCCCGGGCATTTGACTTCAAGGTGTCTCCTGGGAGTAGGGAATTGGACATTTTGAAGCAAGATGAAGTGCCTTCCTATGATGATGCAATTGCCGCTGACTGAAATGATCAGGACATTGAACAGGATTGAGGATTCAGAAAGTCGAAAAAAGCTAAATGAATTTAATCGATCATCATGATATTGAAATCCAAATAGTTGTGCCCTACAATCTGGTCTGTTGGTTTTTAAAAGGTCAAGAATGGGATCCAGATTGGGGTCCAGATTAGGGGTCCAGAAAGGGGTGGTCCACGTTTTGTCAACCCCCATCTGTGCCAGGGTGCATTTTAAGTGTTATACGCTGATCTTCGATGTGGATTTCAAAAGTTATTGGCATACTGGCGTTTGGTGAATACTGTTTGCGTATGGCTCATTGGCGTAAATCGGTGAATGACGTTCTTGGCATGTTTTAAACTTTTAATTACTGATCTCAGCAACTATCTTTCGCTACTTTTGTCCAAATTTGATTCCGGACTTGTTAAATCAGACAAAAGGCACAAATAAGTGAATAACGATAAATTACGACAGTTATGTAATAAGATGTTCTTTCGAGAGTCGAAATGAACGCTTTGTGATACTGTCATATTAATTAAAAAGTACATTCTAAAGCTTGGCGTGTAATTTCAATGTCAGTGGTGGAATTTGAACTTTTTCTCATGTCTTGGCATGACCTTGTTCGAGTACCGGCATATCTTCGGCGTGGCCTTAACATAAAATGCACCCTGGGGTGGCCTTAACATAAAATGCTACACTTGTGGACCACTCACGAAATTTTGCCAACCAGACAATGCACCGAGCACTATTAACCCAAGTTTAGGAAGCCGAGATTTGCAGGAACCACAATCATTCGAAGTGCAACACAATTTATTATTCATTTCATTCCACAATCCATTCAATTTTCCTTGATGTACTGTGAATACTAATTCAGTAAAAATCTGAAAAAATTTGGTTCATGAAAAAATATAGGAACATTTTGGAGAATCTGGAGTTGCGGTGGGGGGTATTCAAAGGATTTCACTGAATTATAATTAAACAAAATTACTTGAACTGTAGAAGTTGTAAATTGCAATGACGTTTCAATGCCTGCAGGTCCTCTCCCAAAAATATTTATTTTGAAGCTCGATTACTGTTTTTCTTGCATTTTCTGTAGCGATCGAAAAGAAAAAAACTACTAATTTTAAGGGCATATATTCGGAAACTTTGCATTAAAGTCTTAATTGTACAGCTTATGTTTTAGAATGGTCATATTGTGAATGGATTTAGAACTTCACATTTTGAGTTTCCACAATGATAATGACAGAACTCGACTCATGCACATTTTTCCATGCACAGTCAAGAATTCAATCTGAATGCAAACCACCAAAATTTGGTGTTTTGCAAGTGGTCCACAAGAATGGTTTGTGAGAGTGGTCCACGAGTGTAGTCCACAGGCCTGGGGTCCGTGCCACGGACCTGGGGTCCACGTTTTGTTGTTTCCCCGTTGGTAGGGATGCAACTACCGGTACCTGAAAAAATCGTTGGCAGGGATGCAACTACCCAGGCTGCATTCCATGTAAACCACAGAGGTGAAGTTGAACCCCGGCCCAAGCCATTGCAGGCACCACTTGAATGACTTGTCATTAGCCTTTGAGTTAAAAATATAAACTTAAAAGTGATGAGTGACTGAGTTTCGAAATATAACCGACTCGACCCTGTAGCTCATTTGGTAGATTGAACGTCTAGCAAACCAAAGGAGAGGGTTTGATTCCCACTGCAGTCAAGCAAACTTTTCAGCTTTCCCAGTGTGGTCACACTCAGAGCAACATCACAAACATACAGTACTTCTTCCAGGGATATTTTCAAGCACATAGGCCCTGTTTACACTATACCGGATTACTTTTCATACCGGATTAATTTTTACTCCGAAGTAAAAAATCAAGGGTGTTTACACTATGCCGCTTCACTCTGTTGCCAGCTCATGTCTTTCACTGTCGCCATGGAAACAAGTAGCCAATATACCAAAATTTATTAAAAACAAGAAGTAATATTCGTTTTCTTTGTAAAGTATAACTTTGTTTAAAAATCTTGACTGCCAGACGTTGCTTTGTTTCGCTCTAATCCAAAATTTCAGAGTATTTCTTTAAATTTTGCTCTTTCAAAAGCGAAAAGTCAATGTTATTATCGTTTTCTTTACATGTATTCGGCAGAATAAAACATACAAGCCAAAACCGATTTTGTACCGAAGCGTACCGGATTAGCCTGTTTACACTGCTCCGGCACATCACAGAGTGATTTTTGCTCCGCGTCGCATACCGGATTACTGTGGCATAGTGTAAACAGCAGCCGAATCCGGTATGAAAATCGCTACACTCCAATGCAATCCGGTATAGTGTAAACGGGGCCTTAGGCTACTACCATTTTTCAGAAGAAGATTGAGTTTCTTTGGGGGACGTTAAAAAATTTTGTGTTCAGGGGCGCACATTCCAAAATATTTTGGAGAGATGTAAAATATTTCGGGACCAACTTTTTACATGTTTACATTTTGGAAGTGGGAGTTGCACGAGGCGCCACCATGGTTGGCGCGGAGTGGAAAAATTTTGAAACTTTGAAGTATCTAAATCATCAGAAATGGCATTTTCAAAGTCTCGTTTGGCCATCAGCTAGCTAGCTGTAGAGAACAGAAAGAAAGTTGATAATGGAACATTTACATTAAAAAATAAATAAAATTGTGAAAAAAAATGAGTTCAAAACTCAATTAAAACTCAATTGAAGATTGAGTATTTACTACTGTATACCGGTAGTAGAAAAGTGCTTGAAAATATCCCTGTTCTTCTCCTGAGTGCACAATAGAGATGTGCATCGGATTGGATTGGACGTTTATAATCCGACAATTGGCTAATGTTTAAAATCCGATCCGAAATTGTCTAATCCAAATCCGATCCGAGTTTTGATAAAGAATTCCGATCCAATCCAAAGAATCCTTTAATAAAATAAATTTCTCATTCAAGTGGAAATGTTTAACCAAATAAATATAAAAGCAAGAAATACATGTCAAGAAGCTGACAAAGTGATGTCCCAATTGAAGTATCAAACGAATAATGCAGCGACAACCATGTTGTCGTGGATAATTAATTCATTTTATTTCGAATATCGAAGTCCGATCCGACTACAAAACAACTTTATCAATCCGATCCAATCCAAAATGAATATTTTTGTTCCGAAATCTGAATGAATCGGATTGGATTCGGATTGGATTTGCACACCTCTAGTGCACAATACCATCAGGACCAAAAATATTCAATATTTGTTTTTTTATACAGCTAATTCAATTGAGGTTGTCCTACCAAAAACTTAAACCTTAAACTCTGAACGTGCAAGGGATGATAGGTTTTCACCTATTAGGCCCTTAAACTCAGAGAATTGCCTTTGCAGCAAATGTGTTTTCTGTCGTGAGTTTTCTCATGTCTTAGGTATTCTTGCAAAGCCAAATTTCAAAGTTTATGAGTCTAAATAAACAATAACCCATCATCCTTTGCACGCTAAGAGTTTAAGGTTTACATTTTTGCAAGGACAACCTTAATTGAATTAGCTGTATATCGATATACTGCAAATATAGCAATATGTTTGATATTTTCAGTATTGAGCATGCAAAACAGCTCTTCGATAAAACTTTTTGACATTTATAGAAATTTGTTCTCGGAATAAGTACTCTCGACTGTGCTGCATAAAAAACGGTAATCGTTCCATGTTTCGCGCACCAATATAGTAAACGTTATGTGATGGATATTATAGTGTTCTGAAAAGTTCACTAGATACCTCCATACACATATAACACACCCTAAACCTAACCCCTAACCTAACCCCTAATACCTACTAACCCCTAACCCTAACCTAATTGGTGCACGAAACATGGAATGATAACCTAAAAAACTAACAGTCAACTCTCGGTTGCGGGCACCCCGTTGTTACGGACACCCCATTATTACGGACACCCCCATTATTACGGACACCCCATTATTACGGACACCCCATTATTACGGACACCCCAGTTATTACGGACACCCCGTTTTTACGGGCACCCCATTATTGCGGACACCCCATTATTACGGACACCCCATTATTACGGACACCCCATTATTACGGACACCCCATTATTACGGACACCCCGTTATTACGGACACCCCGTTATTACGGACACCCCGTTATTACGGACACCCCATTATTACGGACACCCCATTATTACGGGCACCCCATTATTACGGACGCCCCATTATTACGGACGCCCCATTATTACGGACACCCCATTATTACGGGCACCCCATTATTACGGGCACCCCATTATTACGGACACCCCATTATTACGGGCACCCCATTATTACGGACACCCCATTATTACGAACACCCCATTATTACGGACACTCCATTATTACGGACACCCCATTATTACGGACACCCACTATAAAGGCAGTTGGTAAATCCCCGGCTGAAACTACTGTATGAAATGTATTGAAATAACTCTTGCTATTACGGACTCTCCCTATTATGGACACTTCATGTCGTCCCAAACAAACATGTTATTGTTCTATTTTAAAAAGAACAAAACAATAGACACTCCGAAAATAGTTAACATTTTATTCAACGTTTCGACTAGGTTTCAGTCATCATCAGGAATGACGCTATTGAAAAATACCAAGATATATATTTACAAGTTAAGCGGATCAAATTACGCGCTAATTAAAGATCACAAGTTCTTTAGAGGCTTTAGTTCCGTGATTAAGTTCCGGTTTTTGACGATGTATATGTAAAGACTCCTTGTATAACAATAATGACCAATGTTTAGATTTATCTATAATAGTACAGTTTTTGGTATATGATGACTTCTGTGGTATGTGGATCAAACTGATCTAGTAGTGTGTTAGGTAGGTTAAGTAGGGTCTGGAAATATTGAAAATGTTCACATGACGTAATATGTTTGTGAACTTCTGAGTTTTTGTCGGAGGAGTGTTCTTTAATCCTTGTTCTGAGGCAGCGGTCAGTTTTTCCGATGTACGACAATTGACAGCCAGGACAGCTAAATTTGTATACAACACTACTTTGGAGTTCTTTATCCGTTCGGTCTTTTAGGCGTTGTCCTAACACGCGGGTCAGATCATGTACGTATCCCTATAGTAATCTGACCGCGCGTAAACAATGCAGTCGGGGACTGAGTAGTAGTATGATTTTATTGAACAGAAATGAATTAATACCACTGATTGTTGGGCTACTATGCATTTACATCCACAATCATATCTATAAAAAATCAGACAAAACATAATCATTACAGTATAATTTGTATTAGGTAATGTTTTATACTGTATATTGTATGTCCTAACATGTCAATATTAGTCAAATTAATTTGAGACCAAAGGTACCACCTGTACAGGGTTCGTAGCGGTCTTTGAAATCCTTGAAAGTCTTTAAATTGGAATGCAAGTCTTTGAGGTCTTTGAAAAGTCTTTAAATTGTGTGAAAAAGCGAAGAAGTCTTTAAAAGTCTTTGAATTCTTTAGTGAGTATTTGATTATACGATTCCCTAGCTAATAAAATAGATTGATTGAAGCAAGATTTTCGCAAATATCGACGAAAAGGCGCATTTTAGGATGTGATTTGACGGGACTAATTACTGGGTAAAAATGGTGCTTACACTCGCAATTTTTCGACAGCTGATTGCCCTCAAAGGTCTTTGAAGAGTCTTTGAAAATAGGCAGAAAAATCTTTGAAAGTCTTTGAATTTTTTTGGTCTTGGAGACTACGAACCCTGCTGTACCATAATCCATTGAGGTAAAATTTATTGACAGTTTACTGTATGTTGTAATGTGAAATTATGTGTTTTTCTTGTCTAGTTGTACCAAGAAAGCCTGAACAAGGCAATAGCTCGAGAAGGAGAGATACTCTCTGACACACAGAAAAAGTACAATCAGGCCAAATCAAAGGTTGAGAGGCAAAATGAGAAAATTTCAAATCTTGAAAAAGAACTTCAAGAGGAGAAAAATAAACATTCTAAACATGAAGAAGTAATCTTGGATGAAAAACAGCAGAATGAAAAGAATGATTGTGAAAAGGTGGATGTTTCAGAGAAAAATAATTTTGAAGAAAACGTCAGCAGTTTGCATCAATTAGTTGGCACACTTTCTGTGTTAATTCCTGATGAGTATAAAGTAAGTATAATATTTCTAAAAAAACAACTGTAGCTTTAAAATTCAAGGAGAACTTCAACATATTGCGCAATACATTAGATTGCAACTAATGTGTGTCTATAGTGTGTTTACTGTATAAGACAGCTACAGTATTCAGGAGATTAGTGATAGTCAAAACTAACCCTAAATATGATTTTTATTAATGTCTAATATGTAGCTATTCTAAAAAGAACGTGTACAATAGTATATTTTCATTGGAAAGACCTCATCTTCGTTGACGTTTTCACTGTAGAAGATATGATGTCATTAAATGAACTCATTACTGCTAAAATTCATGTAATGACATCTTATCCTACAATCATATCTTCAAATCTATCACATCTTCAGTACAAAGATACATTGCATCAACACACACCACATATTTGAGGTGTGTGGTACATTATGTGTTCCTCCATCCATTGAAACCTGAAAGTTGTTCCCGCATTTTATATGAACTGCCTTATAATTCCACACTAACCATTTTTGTATCCCGCTATTTTTTATATTTTGATATAGAAATTTGCATTTTTGGATCGTTTTTGACCATCTACATACTACTCATTAGTTCGTAGAAACGATCATATGTTTTTATTATTTAAAATTAGCCTTTCGCATGCTTAATTAATGCCTTTACCTAATTTGCATATTGCTGACATATGCAAATTAGGCAAAGGCATTAATTAAGCATGCAAATAGCTGATTTTTAGGAAAAAATGTAAGGTTGCGTGAATAGTTAAAGGGCTTAAACTAAAGCAAATTGTCTGAAATTTTGTACAGTAATTAAAAACCCAACAAATTTTCCATCTATTATCTCAAAATATGATTAAAGCTTTTAAATTTCGTGCGCAAGCCATTTTTAGTTTGTTGGAAAAGACACACCCCCTGGTTCACAAAATTTGAGTTCGAGAACTTTTTTCATTCTACATTTATTTATAAGTGAACAAAGAAGCTATATACATAAAAAAAAAACTGGATACTAATGGCTGTTTTGCGAAATTGAGAGCGATTTCAAATCTGTTCAGTTTTTTTTATACACCCTGTATAGCAGACTTATAGCCGTATCTTCGCTCGGAAGAGATAAGTCGCGTAAAGTAGATAGATTTATTACGCGGGCGCATGGATTTGCGGGCAAACGTTTCCATAAGAATTTAGATTTAAAACACATTTATTTCTTCAAAACGTTTTACAAAATTTAGTGTGGTCTACTTCTAAGAGCGTAACATTTAGGTGTTTTTGTTATCTTTAAAGAGTTCTCACATTCTTGTCTGTCTTTAGTCGATAACTTTGCAATTTTCTTCGGTTTTATTGGAATATGTTTTGGTCGGTCTCTTAGTATAAAACGTTTTCATAATCCTCTCTTGCTTCCGGAGTCATTCGTGCTAGGTCACGTTTGGTCCAATCTGCTGGGTCGATCCAATTGTGGAAAAAGTTGCGCTTGAGTTTTGAAAGTCACTCCTGTTCTGTTGGTGGCGGTGTAAGGAAATTAGGTTTAGGAGTAGTGGGCACTGGTGGTGTTATCCCAACAGGGTTTCTCACTTTCTGGTGGTGGTGTTTGAACAGGGGCTTCATGACTGGGACGAGGGACTGGAATATTCATCTTTACTTATTTTTGAATATGAGAAACCGATTTAGTTGATCAGAATATAATTTGCTTTTTTCCACGGCAGTAAGCTGTGGTGCTTCCATGATCTCTTTCATTCGCTGTTCGGCATCGTACATTGCATTTACAAGCGGTGGTTGTTGATACGACTTTTTTCGTACATATTGGATTAACGGATCAATCTCGCCAGGAAGTGTGTTGGTCTTGAGTCGATCGTCGATTCTCACCAGTTTGTAGCCTTTCTCTAGTGCTTTCTCGAGCTCCAATGTCACCCATGTCCCACGAAGTGCTCGCTCGGCGTCGCTGTGGTGGCATGGTTCTTGTAGATTATCGGCACAGGTACGACACAATGGGAACATTAATTTACCCTGAGTACAGTAAGGGAGGACTGGGTGGTAGAGAACACATGGAGGGAGAACAGAACATTTCACCAAACCAAAGTACTCACTGATGAGGGCGAAGTTCTCAGTGATAATCTCAGGATGGCCAATAGGATACTCGCCGTATTTGTTACACCTAAAAATTGCTTAAGAAGATTAACGACAAGCACGTTTGAGTTTAAATAAAATGAAAAGTTTTTGACAAGATATATACCAGGAGTAGAGGCTGCAGAAATCCACGTAGCGGACCTTCTCTTCTGGCTGAACGTCGTAAAAGAAGTGAGTAGCATTGGTACGACCACCAAAGAAAGCTTGTCGTGGTTCCAGAGACTCAGATATTTCGAAACTTTCGAAGAAATCCTTCATCTCGGGTTCGATGGCAAGTTGACGCTCAATGTCACACGTCCAAATCTCTACGACGTTGTATCTGTTGTCTTTTAGGAATTGTATTTTCTCTAGAGTTCGTTGCCTAAGATCTTGCATGGTCATATGGTTGATCGGATTCACGGTATCTCTGGCGTAACACTTGTCGCACCCATGCCACAGGCACCCTTGAACTTCCCAAACAGTGTTCATCTCAACGTTGAACCCATCGACGAGGTAATTGCCAATGCGCTACTCTCCCTGGTTGCGGGCGTGGGGTGAAAGGCAATGAGTGATTGTTTGTTTTCGGGCTTGTATCCGCAAGGAGGAATGATGGCGTCGGTGTTCTCCTGGAGGAACGTTTTACGGAAGACAAGATTACAGGCAGAGGCATTGGTGAGACAGAAGGCGAAGGGATCGATATCTGTGATTTGATGGAAAAGTTTGCGGAACTCGAAACAACAACGACGCAAAATGTCCACATCAGACTGGCAGTATCACAGAATTTCGGCTTGAAAGTCGAGCTCGTACTGACGCACGACTAGGTCGTTGTACCATGCATAAAACGTTTGGCGGTCACCGGTGCTCATTCCATCAGGATCGTAGAACGTCGAGTCTGGCATTGATCCAACGTAGTCCTGGTTCTCAGCACGGTTGAAGAAATGGGGGAAGTATGCTTTCTTTAGCTCTGTGAGACCAAACGTTTTCGGGAAGGCAGCCAGTTTCATCGGGATGAAGCAGAGAGAGTCTATAATTTTGATGTTCATTGCGGGGACAGTGAGCGAGAGGATTTTTGCGCCACGGGTAATGATCTCCGGTGTGATACCATTCTTGTAGAGGTATTGGAGAATGAAGTACCCGTCGTAAGCTTGGAAATTATGTGCGATAAACGTTGTGTTGGCGTTTTCCTGTTGAAATACCCAAGTGCAGAACTCGTCTTTGGGCCAGAAAAGACTTTCTCGTCACCGCTTTCGTTCTGGACCACGCACAGATTGGGGATGTGCTCGCCGTCGTCTTGCGCGCATTCGAAGTCGAAGAACATCAGGTTTTGGCCGTCTTCCACGTCATTATCCACGGCCACATCATCGTCTAGGAATTCGTTTTCTTCTTCAGCTGTCCGTCTCTTTTTCGCCTTTACAGGTTGAAGATAACATTGGTGGTTTTCACAGGTAAAACATCTGACTTTGCCACAATGATGATCACGAAGACTGGTACGAGTGACAACACGTTGACATTTCTTGCATTTCACCAAAACACGACACAGGGAGGGAACACTTGTCAAATGCAACGATCAAAATGAATGAAATTTGTGTTCGAAACACGTTATTTATAATCGAAACACGTTATTTATGATAAGTTTACTTTGTTTGGTTTCGTTACTGTGTTGTGATGCTAGTTGGTCGCGTTACCTTATTGTGTTTGGTCTTCTTACTGTATTGTGATGCTAGATGGTCGCGTTACCTTATTGTGTTTGGTCTTCTTACTGTATTGTGATGCTAGTTGGTCGCGTTACCTGTCACATTTGGCCCAGGCTTGCCCAGCAAGATGACGTCATAGATTTTGCATACTAATTACTTCCGATACCAAATTAGACTTGCATACTAATTACTTCTGCCCTCAGAGTGCCAGCTGAGCAAAGTGACGTCATAGATTTTGCATACTAATTACTTCCGCCGCCATAGAGTAGGGGGTATTACTACTAGTATCCGTTCCCATCGTATTAATTTAGTTTAGTTTACAGGCAGTTTAGTTTAATAACTTCATCATCAAAACGAATTACAACAGATGATAGGTGAGCAGACAAAGCGTAGCCCCAATTGAATCTGCCTACTATGCTGCAGTCTACAGCCAAAATTCTCTATATGATACACATTAGTTGTCGGCTTTTATTTTGGCAACACTTGGGCGATGAGCGAAAATGGATACAAATTTAATGTATTCGTTTTCAAACGAGAATGGACTATTGTGGGGGGGGGGGGATAAGTGAGTGTGTGGTTACGTGGACTTGTAGAGATTCTCGCATTGCGCATTAATTAGTTATTTAGCTTATTAGTTATTCAATGAATTTTTAATAGGCTGCCTGTAAAAGGAATACACAGGACATGTTCACGGCCATACTGTTGTTCACCGTGTTTATTTTCTTTAGACATCCATGTCACCTGACCTCTTACAAGACTTAATTAACCTGGAAAAATATATCAAAGCTCTACTCAAGTCTGACAGTGCTGCTCCAGACAGGAAAAATGCCTTTGAGGATGAACTTGAATCTGTAAAAGAGCAACTTAAAAAGGAAGAGCAAAAACGGGCTGAATTAGAAACAAGAAATAAGAATCTTCAAGATGTCATTGCGAATAAAAAATTGGAGGAAGTAGATGTGCAGGAATTACAAGAGGAAGTACAGTTACTGGGCAAAGACATGGATAAAGTAGACATGCTCAGAGCTGGTTGTGTATCACGTGATAGTGAAACTACTGACGAGAGTTTCAGTCTTGATCAGACAAAACAACAACAGGTTGGTTATTAAACAGTTATTGGATGAGGTTTTGTGATATACGAATTTATCAAGGTCGAGGCAAGTGTTAACGATCGAGCGGAAGGCGAATAACACTTGTTTTAAGGCAAGTTTGACAACACTTACAGTACTGTAACTTGCTTGAGTTTGATATTTAGCAGTAAGGTATTGGCCTATCACAAGACACATATGGTGACTACAATGTATAATAAACTGTTTCTACAGGGTGTATAAAAAAGAGCTGAATAGATTTGGAATTGCTCTCAATTTCGCAAAACAGCTATTAGTATCCAGTTTTTGATATATATATATATATATATATATATATATATATATATATATATATATATATATATATATATATATATATATATATATATATATATATATATATATATATATATATATATATTTCTTTGGGTACTTGTAATGTAGAATAATAAAAAAGATTCTCGAACTCAAATTTTGTAAACCAGGGGTGTGTGTCTTTTCCAACAAACTAAAAATGGCTTGCGCATGAAATTTAAAGCTTCAATCATATTTTGAGTTGATAGATGGAAAATTTGTTGGGTTTTTAATTACTGTACAAAATTTCAGACAATTTGCTTTAGTTTAAGTCCTTTAACTATTTATTTTTTTTCTAAAAAATTAGCCTTTCGCATGCTTAATTAATGCCTTTACCTAATTTGCATATTGCTGACATATGCAAATTAGGCAAAGGTATTAATTAGCATGCAAATAGCTGATTTTTTAAGAAAATATGCGAGTTTGCGTGAAATGTCTGAAATTCTGTACAGTAATTAAAAACCCAACAAATTTTCCATCTATTAACTTAAAATATGATTAAAGCTTCCAAATTTCTTGCGCAAGCCATTTTTAGTTTGTTGGAAAAGACACCTGGTTCACAAAATTTGAGTTCGAGAATTTTTTTTCATTTTTCTACATTATAAGTACCCAAAGAAGCTATATACATCAAAAACTGGATACTAGTAGCTGTTTTGCGAAATTAAGAGCAATTTCAAATCTGTTCAGTTTTTTTTATACCCCCTGTATTGGCTTTATGCATGGAAATGTTGTATTTACAGGTCTGTTGTAATTGTGTACTGTACTGTGCTGTATTAACTACTTCATAATCGGGGCAGGTGTTTATACATAATATATTATTTCGAGAAGTTCATTATTGTTGTTGGTGATTTACTGTAAATAACCAAAAATGTATTGGAGAAACAAGACTCTGGCCAAGTTTTGGGCATGCTTCTACTAAGGTTTGTTAGAATTTGTTAGAACTAAAATCACTATGATAAATTACTTCGAGTTGTATGATAGAACTTCTCATGCTATAGCTGTGAAGAAAGCGGAGTTAGTTATAGACATTTGTTATCGCACCGTGCTCTCAGGACAACGGTACTGTACTCATTTCCTTCCTGTTTCCCTCATGAATTAGTAATGAGTTTGAGAAGGTGAACATTTTGCCGTACTATTGACACAGAGATAACGATGTATATATTTGGAGAGAGGTGCAAAGATTCGAACCCACATTTGAAATTCTGTCGAACCTGCATTAAGCGTAGCCTCCTCTGCAGGCCTCTCTATGGGTTTTAGCCTGCAAATGGGTTTTGAAACATATCCGGCAGCTATATTTGTAAATTTTGTGTTGGTTTTCGCTATTTTCTGGTGATCAAAGCTAGAAAACAATGAAAAATTATGTGGCAAGTGGCAAACGCGTTGTTCGACAGAGGTGACCGTTTGATATACAGTAGGTCACTAGAACAGCACTTACAGTATAAATTTAATATTGTGCCGGTTAATACAAGTTTGACTGTGCGTTCATATTTTATTTAAACACATTTTATATTTAAACACCCGCTATATAACCAGTATCTTTTTTTAATTTTATTTTCAGAGCATTGTCGATTCATTAAAGTTGAAGTATGATACATTAAAGAAAGTTGGTGATCAACGTGAAAAGAAGTTTCTGGACGAAAGTGAAAAACTTTTATCTGAAAAGGATTCTTTGAACGCCAAAGTGACGGAAATGGAAACCGAAAAAGAAGAAGCTGAGAGTCAGCTTGCAGCAGCTGTAGCGGATAAAAACGAGATTGAGAATCAGCTTGCAGCAGCTTTGGCGGATAAAAACGAGAGTGAGAGTCAGCTTGCAGCAGCTTTAGCGGATAAAAACGAGAGTGAGAGTCAGCTTGCAGCAGTTGTAGCTGATACAAAGGCAGTTGAGAGTCAGCTTGCAGCAGCTGTGGCGGATAAAAACGAGCTTGAACAAAAGTTAGCTGATCAAATAGTTTATTGCGATGCAATTCAAGAGGAGTTAGGTCAGACTAGAATTATTAACGAGGAACTGGAGACAAAATTGAATGAAAATAGTAAGAAAGAGGTAAGTTTGAAACATGTACTAAAGTATATACAGTGTAAATATATATAAAATATATATATATATATATATATATATATATATATATATATATATATATATATATATATATATATGCATATATATATATATATATATATGCATATATATACATATATATACATATATATATACATATATATATACACATATATACATTTATTATTTCAGTTAGCTGATTGACATATGCATATATATATATATATATATATATATATATATATATATATATATATATATATATATATATATATATATATATATATATATATATATATATGATAGTTTTGGAGTTGAAGCTGGTCTAAAATTCTTTTTAAAATACAAGTCAGCAATCAAAGACCACGCAGAAAGCACAGGACACAATGCCTCTATTAACAATGCTACAATCTTAGAGAAAAGAGTACATAATTTAGAAAAACGAACGTTCCTTGAGTCGATGCATTCAATATTAGACAATAAAACAATTAACGAACACAAAGAATTCCCACGCATGTATTTATCGCTTGTGCAATCATGTGGCAATAATGACGATATTTAAAAACCTTGAACTATCCCAACTGCTCTTAGTACTCTGATGAAGGTTGCAGTTAGCAACCGAAAATTTAGAACTTTTTAGACTTTTTATTGTACATATTCTAGTATTTTAAAAAGAATTTTAGACCAGCTTCAACTCCAAAACTATCATGTATTCCACTGGTCGCCTCAACTGTATATATATATATATATATATATATATATATATATATATATATATATATATATATATATATATATATATATATATATATATATATATATATATATATATATATATATATGTATGTTTTGCTGGAAAACATGTGTCACAGTGCAGTGCATGCATGGTGCTAATATTTCGTCCAGTTTATTTACAGTTAAATATCATCGGATGACTTCTTTGTAATAAAAACAAAATCTGTATTAGTCATTGTACTATGAAATTTCTATTTTCATTTTAGCAATATTTGCTGTATAGCGTTCAGATTTATTTGAGTTTAATGTGTACGATTGGCATGAAAAGACCTATTCATAACAACATGGTTTGATAAATTTTTGACGTGTTTTAATTTTAGAATGTCGAAAATGAGCTAAAAGCGCAAGTTTTCACTCTCTGTCAAGAAATAGGGACCAAAGACATGGAATGTGACGATTTGAAAGCAAGGTTGGCATGATGAACATTTTGTTCGTTTATTCTAATTTAATTTTAATTTTACAAGCTTTGTCACAACAAGAATACATCATGACAAATAACAATAATTACATATATAACATTACAAATGTGACAGGAAATCACAACAGCTTCAGGCCAATTACTGTGATCCCAAAATGTACAAGTACAGTGTTACACAAACATACAGACACACATATATGTATATATAGATACATATCTGATTTAAAAACAACATGCAATAGGTACAGTACAAACATTCTTGTACAGTACAAACAACATGCTACCAATGTGTTACACCAGCATCATTCAAAGTATCTAAAACTCGTGTACACAGTGTGTTTCGATCCTAACCCTAGTTATTCAATAGTATATAATATCTGTTTCTTTTCTGTTTTCAGGCTAGATCTTTCAGGGACGGAATGTAACAAAATGAATTCTGCTCTTGATGAAATGAGGTAACTGAAACTGTTGTACAAAAAGAAACAAATTCCGAAAAATAAGGTCATCTTGAAATTCAAGATATGAATTAAAACAAGACGACTGTAAATTTTCGACTTTATTTCAAAGTCATCATCAGACAGAGTGAAAGACAATACTTTACATACAGCATATATACAGAGCAAGAGCGGAAGAAACACGATACTTTGTCTATTCTCTTTCTCCATTTTCTGACAGTCAGGTTAGTTGTTTTCTTGTTGTAAATATATATATATATATATCTATATCTATATATATATATATATATATATATATATATATATATATATATATATATATATATATATATATATATATATATATATATATATATATATATTTTGGTTTACGAAACAAACAGTGCGAAACAAACAGTTTCGTAATATATATATTTAGTATAAATTTTGCATATCAAATGAGCTTTCGCGCGTTCTGATTGGCTAGTTGACTAGTAAATCTGAGGCATTTACTAGCTGACTAGTAAATAATGCTTTTCAAAAAGAATGATTCGGCAAATTTGGTTTCAAAATCGACAAAATATTGAAAAAATCGACCCAGAAAACGAAAAAAGCACAAAATGTTGTATTTAACTTGAAAGGTAGGATTTCTTTATTATTTCACTGTTTCAAACATATTCACGGACAATTTAAAACTTATTTAAAACTCCGAAACATTCGCTTCAAACAATTAGCAAAAACTGTCCCGACTGTTGGGAAAAGCCGTGATATTCTTTTTAAAACAATTTTGTTTTGTATCCTATAAATTTCCAAATTTGTACGATACTATTTATTTTGATATGTCATGTTTTCATTGTGTTCGAAACTTGTAAAGTATAAAGTGTTGTTAAAACTTTTTTTCGAACGATATAGTTTTACATTTCATTTTACCAAATTCCTCAGACATTCCCTGGTCAGAAATTCAATGCTAAACAGAAACTATTTTTAAGTCTGGTGAAAGAGTCATTCCGTTATTGTGTTTATATTCCAAGCAGAAATCGAGAAAAACAACTTTGTAATAAAGCAATAAAGCACAAGAAGCCATTTTGAAAGCGTGTGCGTACAAGAAACACTGCAACACGTCTATTAGTGAACAGGCCGAAAACAGTTTTATTTCTGAATTTTAATTGAACTGATATTCGGATATTTTATTTTATTCATTAAAAATTTATACTAAAACAATAATAATTGTTAAATATATATAAATTATATGAAAATTTACAGTCTCATACACTCGTCTTGTTTTAATTCATATCTTGAATTTCAAGATGATCTTATTTTTCGTAATTTGTTTCTTTTTGTAGTTTCTTAAATTGGCGGCTGGCCGTGATTTTTTAAACTGTTGTGTTTTTCGAATTTTTACAAACCATTTATCACAGTGGCATTGAAGCCGACAGTGAACTCTTTCTCTTCAAGGCGAACACTTTTGCGACCGCCTTAGAAACAGTGGTAAACACTGGTAGACAGTGTGACCAGGTTTAGTACATTTTATTACCAGATCCGGTTGGATGCCCTTAGACAACCCCACCTGCTTTAAACAACTGCAACATTAAGAACAGGAGGGGGCAGCCAACCAATTTTAAGCAGCTTTAGTAAAAAAAATTGCATATATGGTCACACTGCTGGTAGTCTTCGCTTTGGAGACTATAGAATTTATACTAGAAGTTACAATTGCAAGGAAAGTGCTGCCTCACCCCCAAGGGATTAAAGGCAGCATGCGCAACTTGCTGAATAAGGGCACAGATTATGTAAGGACAGATGTATAACGTCAATAAAAAAGTTGTCCCACGGTCGCCATCTTCCTAGCAAGTGTCGCTCGCGTTACAATTCGTCATTAAAGGAATACCAAATGGTTTTCCATGCAGGATAGCACGAGGGATGTTGCGAGACTTTCGGAAAGCGTGGAAATACTCGAGCCGCAGGCGAGTGTATTTTTACGCTTTCCGAAAGTCAAGCAACATCCCAAGTGCATGGATCACGCTATCCTGCTTGGAAAACCATTTGGTAATTGTTTTATAAAATAACTACAGTCTGTGAAACAATGACATTTTGAGAATCCCGCGAAAGCACTTTAATTCCTCGTGCCGGATAGCCTGATCCTGCACGGCTATTGACAAATCAGATTGCGTGTTTCACTGTAGTTATTATATAATTGGTAATACGCATTGCTTTCAAAAATGCTTTCAACACCTTTTCTACAACTTTAAACATTCAACAAATGATGCTCTTGATTGTTTAATCCATAAATTTCGATCCAAAAAACCGCAATAAAGTGCAAAAGTTTGTGTTTTCCAGAACGCCATCTTCCTAGCAAGTGTCATGACGTGAGCATGACGTGTACATCCAAGGAAATGTGCGGACACGAAGTCCTATTAAGGCCCATTTCCACTCAGGAAAATTTTCCGCAGAAAGAAAATTTTGAAGTTGAAAATTTTCAACTTTTAACAATGACTTTTTCGGAAAATGTTCTGTCCGTGGAATTTTTCTTGAGTGGAAATGGGCCTTTAAGTTACACATCTGGTACATACTTCATCTGTGATAAGGGGCTGTTTATATGATCCCGCTTTGCCAGGACGTGGTATGAGGCGGGATGATTTCGATGTATTGAAACAAGTCACGGTGCACAATTCAGCAAAAAACTTCAGTATTTTCTAGAGATAGCAAGCAGTAACAATAATCTTCTTGAACTACAAGATCTAGATCTTCTCTACAATATTTGAGTTCTGTTAACCAGCATTTGAACTTTTTGCTTAGCCTAATCACAGGGGGCCCCACTATGAGTTATGATTGAAATAATATTGTATTTATTTTTAAAAACCTACTTGAATCCCTTGATAATCGATTATTTCTTCTCTCGAAATTCTGTAAACATTTTAAACTGCTTGGAGTCATTATACTATCACTCTACATGACGTTTCATGAAGTATAGATGATCGCTGACAAGTAAGGACCGCGGGCGCGAAAAGACTCATCGTTTGATGTGTTCCATAAGTAGGTTGTTCTCCGGAAATTTCGCACGGGGCCCCAATGTGAGTTTATAGGATTGAAAAAATATTGTATTTATTTTTAAAAACTTACTTGAATCCCTTGATCATCCATTATTTCTTCTCTCGAAGTTCTGTAAACCTTTTAAATGGCTCGGACTCATTATACTTGACGTCACGAGAACAACCTACTTATGGAACACATTGTGCGAAAAAACGCTTCGAGTGTTTCATGTAAAAACATACGAAAAATCAATCGTTTATGAATCTACTACATCAGTTGTGAAGATATATCCAAAAAGACATAGAATCTGAAAAAAAATATTCGAAAACACTGATAAATTGTGAATTTTAAGGCATTTAGAAACGTCATCTAGTCGAAGTTTCAACCCTTTAGTTTAATTCTTCCTTCTTTCGGCTTTCGCCGCCTTCGTCTTTTCGCGCCCGCGTTCTTACTTGTCAGCGATCATCTATACTTCATGTAGAGTGATAGTATAATGATTCAAGCGGTTTAAAATGTTTACAGAATTTCGAGAGAAGAAATAATCGATTATCAAGGGATTCAAGTAGGTTTTTAAAAATAAATACAATATTATTTCAATCATAACTCATAGTGGGGCCCCCTGTGGCCTAATGACTTATTTCAATACATCAAAAATCATCCCACCTTCCATCGTGTATTAAACAGCCCTTAAGACGCCTGTTCAGGAGGTGCACAAGGTCGAAAGTCAGCTAAATGTTCTACTTCTTTGCTTATAACGTCTTGCTTTTGTGTATATAATTATAATACTGTCAGTGGCGAAGCTAGCCACATCAACAGGTAATGCTGTGCACGTTTTTAATGATTTGCATTATTCAAATATATGCAGATTTATTGGCATGGCATGACCAGTTACCATGGCTAGCTGTACAAAATCATATTATACATGATGATAATACTTGAATGAATCATTGGACATATAGAATTTAACAATTTCATATATAGAAATATTAAGTCAGTTTTGTCCCAATTATCGTTTTAATGGTACCTTCAAGGCTACCCTTATTGCAAAACAACTGAACAATCTGCTGATGCCTGATGGGGAGACAAAATCTATTTGTTGACAGTTTTGTTTCATGCGTCTGATGACACCATTCATTTGTAATGATTAAGATTGTAATCAGTCAAAAACTGCAAAACTATATAATACAAGAAATTGTGAGCATTATCAAAAAATATAGTATACCCTGAACTGTGGTGACACAGCCAGGTGAATAATATATAAATGTAGGCTGGTAGGATTATTTCCTATCGTGCTACCAATGGACATATCTCAGAGATATATTTTTACAGACATATTATATTATGCTATGACAATACAGTGACGTAACCATGGGAGTCTGCATACATAATGAGCTCCACAATAAAGCCAGGCGAACTTTATGCGCATTTTAAAATGTTTTTTAATGCCTTTTTAAGTGAATACATATATTTGCTGGGCTGTCTATGGTAATATAGAGAGTAAATAATTCATTGTACTTTTTTACTATATCGATCAATGTTATTTTTTATTTCAGGAAAGAGCTAGATGCAGTTTATTCACAAAACGAGAAGTTGTTAACAGAACGCAAGGTTTGTACAGAACTTTTGTTTCTTTTATCACCTGTTTCATGTGTCAGGAAACCTCTTTCTAAACTCCAATGCATGTTTTGTACAAAAGAGCTAAAATTATCAGATCACCTGCATGGGTCTGTTGTACGAAGGCTGGATAGCGCTATCCATCGGATAGTGATTTTTCAACCATTGAAAAACTATAAAACTACGGATATGGATTCTTCAATTATTAGAAGGCAACTTGAATTTTTATATACTAAAGTTTAAAAAGTCATTGTCAACTACAATGCATTTGTTTACATCTTACCTTCCGAAGTGACAAATAGCAACAAATGACAATTATAAACATTTCTTTGGTGCAATTTTAGTATAAAAAGTTAAAATGAGCAAGTATAACCATAGGATGGTAGTAATATATTATGGATTATCTATTATTAATATCTATTATTCCACCATTAAAATAGCCGCCAAGCAGGTTTGGGCGTAGCCTGCAAGGCAGGCGGTCCCCAAAGCTAGTTTGGGCGCACAATGCATTGTGGTTGACAATGACTCTTTAATGTTACACTAGTCAACGGACAATATAAGATTGGGCGCACAATGCATTGTGGTTGACAATGACTCTTTAATGTTACACTAGTCAACGGACAATATAAGAACGCTTGAATAATCACTATCCTGTGGATAGCACTACATGTATACTGGGACCGATGCAATTCATACTTGCTCTCAAAAGGGCGTGGCCTACCTAAACATTTCTCCCCATCTGATACGCCATTTTTCAACATTCCCAAACTACCAGTGGCGTAACGCTCATTGGGTAGGGTTAGTGCAAAATCTAAGGGCCCCTGACAGTTAGGGGCCCCCATCAGCCACGGTCTATCGCCAGAAAATTAGAAAACGTAAAAAATGCAGGTTAAGAATCAATGGGAAATGCAAAATTAAATAAAGCCTCCATCGACATCGGTAGCTTATTTTTTTTTATTCCATCTCAATAATAAAACAAAAGTTACTCTTATTAGTTGTTACATTTATAAATATTCAATATAAATATAATATCTCAGTCAAACAATGACAACAGTGAACAGGGGCGGAGGGGCCCCCCTCACCAAGTATGCCCCTCTCGCTCCGTTACGCCACTGCAAACGACAGCTGCAGCGTTTAAACGTTTATACCATTCTATGAACTGGAGAACTCTTGGAGACTGTATATACCATCGCTAGCAAAACTGAAAGTCAATATTCACTTATTCCTGCATAAATTGTAGAACTCGTTAATACTTCATGAAGAAAATTCAAAAGAAAACAATATTTAATGAGGTGTTGTATCCACATACACAAAATTCTCCTGATTTCGTACAAACGTTTTTGATTTTCTCAGTTAAAATGCCTTTTTTTTTAATAATGATCGAATAATTATAATTATTTATGAATAACGCCACTGTTGAAATCCTTACGTTTCACAAACTATTTCGCTTTCGGCTCGAGTTTGTACATCTGATACAACACGGCCGCTCATGCTGTATGTACTATTTATACATTATTTACACATTATGCATTCAGTTCTTTTACACAGCCCGGAGAAGCAAGAAAAAAGTTGTGGCCATTAGGTTGATATATGCTGACAAACCACACACACGAACACGAACACGAACACGAACACGAACAAACCGAGGTGAAAACATATTAACACCGTGTATATTTCTGCTATACCAGGGTGCGAGTGAAGCTGAACTCGTAGAGTCGCGATCAAAAATCGACAATCTTACTGCGCAGTTGTTAAGTGCTGAGGAGATGTTGGAGCATAAGGAAACTGATTTACGTAAATCACATGAACATCAGAAAAGTCTCGTCAGTGAACTGGAAACTGTTCCTCTGTTAAAACAACAGGTTAGTAACTCTCAGCAAACTTACATGTATGTATTGGCAGGGTGGGATACGTCCATCCCAGTCCTCGTGTCACTGTTGCCCCCCCTATACTACGTAAGTAAGTAGGGGGGGTGCTTATTATCCTTACTTGCAGCTGAGAGCTAAGCTGAATTGCGAAGGACACAGCTTAACCTGATTGATTGCAAGGGTTTCTAAGGGCGCACATAGCAGCCACCTGTTGACTCGCCATCACGGAGCACAGCTACGATGAAAGGATTACTTTTTAGGGAAATCCTAACCAACCCTGTCAACATTCCCTGTGATTTTCGGCAGAGTGTTGACTAACTCTTTTCACATGGCTATCATAAGTCGAGGAGAGGGTCCCTTGCATTGGCGCACTTTTTAAGTTATCCAACTCGCGGTTAGGTGCCCTTTACTGAATACCCCACCCCCAACTGTTTATAAGAGGTCCTGACTTTCTGCGTCTTCTTATTTAGCTTGACGTCTACCAAGCCGACTTTAATACAGAAAGACAAACACGACAAAAGGTTGAAGATGACAATAGGAAGTTGAGAGATGAAGTCGCCAAACTTCATGCAGATAATGAACGTTTGACAGAAGAAGCAAGTGACCCTACTGGCAGCAAATTGGCTGAAATGCAACGTCGTCATGGCTGTGGTAGCGGTCCACAGCCCGGGAACGATAACAATCCCTGGAGCGGATTTTATGATCAATTCCTTGCACCACGAGGCCCAGCTGTAGCACGAAATAGTCCGCATCAGCCCCATGCCGAGAATGATATCAATAGACAGGTGTCGGGTGGCCGTTGCCCGAAATGCGATTTAATGTTTCCCGATCTTGATACATTGCAGACTCATGTGGTCGGATGTTTGGAATCAGAAAGTACTGGGTCAGTAGGAGGGAAGATTTGCCCAAAATGTCAAGGATCATTTCCAGATTTGGACACACTTCAAATTCATGTGATGGAGTGTCTTGATAACTAAGTGACAGATATTATTTCTGCACAGATGCGATTGCACCAATTTTACTTCTATATATCGAAAATTTTAATAATTGATGCACTTAAATTCCAAAACAAAGCCAGCAGCCGCTATTTGCAACCATGCTGCTTGAATCAACGACAATTTAGATTCATATGGGATTGAAAGTGAAATTATGGTTATCTTTAAATTGTACATTGTAAATTTATAGCTTGATATTTTATGTTATTTCAATATTTTACAATATTCATAAAGTACTGTGAGTGTATTCATCACGTTCAAAAATTAAATACACAGCTATAAAGCTTGTATTATATTGATGATGTCAGCATGATTTTCAAAACACGATACGACAAGGCCGTTTGGCCATTTTTTACCTTTTTTGAAATTTAAAGAAATACCCAAACTCGACAAAAGGTGAAGACTATTGTCTTTTGTCTAGTTGGCATTTCTTCAGTTTCTCTAACGAGAAGTAATTTTAATGATGGTATAGCATGCTTCTTCATAAAATTGCAAAAACAATGAATAAAACGCTTCAACTTTGAAACAAAAGAACATGTCCCCCATAGAATCAGGTGTTACTTTAATTTAACTGTGTATACATGGCTTTATCACTTTTCGCCCGAAATGTAAAAGAATAGGGGTTTAAGCTGGATTTCCACTTGCAACAAAAATTTCGCTTTCGAAATACTTTGCCCAATTTCTTTTGAATACACCCTTTCAATATAATTACGTCACACATACTTTTTGGTCTTGGAGCCGCTCCTCATTAATAAATTACGCAAGGTGATTGGCTCACGATTGATGAGAGCGAGGCTCCCAGGCTAAATGACGTAATTATCGAAAGGATGTATTGTGAGTGCCAAGCACAGAGCTGATTTTAAATCCTCCCTCTGTTTCAGGAGAGAAATCGCTGTTAAAATGATGTGTTAATGCGGAAATTGATCCGTATATATGCATAATTGGCTATAGATATAAACTTGGTTATAATTAAAACATTTTTTTATTTTCCGAAATGCAAATTTATATGCATTAACTAAATTTTACCGAAGTCCCTCGAACTGCTTGCTCGGCACTCTTCCAACTGAGCTAGCTGCGATTTACTTTAAAGTTAGAATTAAAAGTGCTTCCTGTATTAACTTTCCAAACTAAAGATCAATCGTTTCCATTTTACCCTCCTTAGACTTCCTTTCCACAATTCTACGTTTTTCATCTTCTTCATCAGCATCAACTAAGATAATTTTTGCATCAGTTGAATCCCCGAGTTTCTTTGCTTTTTTCTCCTTCGTCTCGGGTTCTGTATAACCATAATCATCAACTGGCTTGGATTTCTGTTTAGATTTCTGAATTGTTGCGTAAACAGGCTTGTCTTTGCCATTTGTTCCACCTTGTTTGCTCGTTTTGGTGAACGTTCCCTGAGTGGGTTCCTCGGGAATGTATGTATCACCAGTAGAACGATCTAGTTTAAACAGTCTGTCGCCATCAATGCTATCTCGAAGTGAGATTTCAGATCGTGTCTTGTCATCGGCTCGTCTATATAAGAGTAATAGACCTTACCGATTATTCTCTTTTACCCAATGGCCTCGTTTTCATGTCAAATACTCATGTTTTGTGCTTAGTAGCTGACTCGTCTCTGTGAGCACGTGCGAATTGGAAAGCGCGCGCAGGGACGACTGGGGACGAGTCAGGCTTAGTAGGGTTGACAATTACTTAATTATTGAACCTAAGAATAGCAAGAAACAAATTCGTCCAGGAAAACATGGTAATATAATCCTTATCTGCCCTTGACATGCTAAAAATCTATAAAATTTATTTAATTCCGAGTAGAAATGTCTGGGGAAATTCATGTTTTCGATGTACTTATAATCTTCGGAATTCTGCTAGATTTCACCCCCAAAATGCTTGCAATCGCATTTCAGGGACTCTAGATTTCAAAATTTTCCAGAGGGTGTATGCCCCGGAATCCCCCCCCCCCCCTAGACGGTCTCACGCCTTAGGCGTGAGCTTCGCCCCTCCAAAAATGAAGGTCTGATTACGCCACTGCAAATTGGCGGTCAGACTATTACATATCACTATTATTACATTATATATAAGTATACGAACGGGATGTTTAGATTCTTGCAAAGCGCCCCTCCTCACAATTACATTAAAATTCTATTTTATAAATTTCTAATTAAACACAATTAACTGATTACATTCATGCATACAGCTATTTCAATTAAGGTTGTCCCTTTCGCGCTCGTATTCGACTTTTCCGCTTTGCTCGGGGACAACCTTAATTGAAATAGCTGTATAACAATGAAGCGACGATATCCTTTGCATAAACGTGAACCAACATAGATATTGAGTTATATTGTATTTTTTCGAATTTCCTATAACCGTCCTTATTCTCTTGACTATATTATGGCTGCCTATAGCTAGATGCAACTCTATACATTACTCGAAAAATGATTTGCCGTCATTAAAAATGATTCGTATAGCTATACAAACCTTTCCAGAAGTTTTAATAGTCGTCTCATGGTCAACAAGAGGATTAATAAAAGTATGAAGAAGAAGCATACAAAAGCCAACAGAATGATAAACATGATGAGTAAATCTAGGAGTGAAATAAATAGGAATAGTTAAAATCAGCTTGAGCTTTCAGCATGCAATGTTCTGCGTGAATGTTTGTAAACCCAAATAAAAAAGATGAATTAACGTCTGCAGTTGTTTATGCCATCACCACCAATCCATTCTCAGTTATAACCACTGATCAGGTTATAACTCTCATATGCTTGATTACCTTCCATTCTATGCTTACATTATACTACTTCACCATGATACCACAATAGAGTTATATGAAGTATAAGCATGAATAAAATCTACTTACCATCGTCTTCAATCACTAGTTTTCTTCCTATAAAAGTCACAGAAAACAATTGAGGTGGAATGCATGAGAGACCACACTGTATACAACAGGTAAATATCAGGATTTGGGACATCTCGCATAGAAAGTTCGAGCGAAAATGCATGTATACACATTTTTTTAGACTGACCGGGAGCAGCTGTAAAAAATACAGTTTTAGGCAAAATTAAGAAATTGAAGCTTGGCCATGTGATTCCGGTGCAGCACTCTGCATGAGCACAGAGCTACAGAGTCCAGTGCTCAGAGCGGCACTGATCTCCACCAGTATCTCTATACATAGCTCAGTAGTCTGAGTACTGCACCGGAATCGCAGGACCGCAGATTCAATTTCTGCCAAGCGAAAAAATTCTAGGCTCGTTTACACGACAGTCATTTTGGGCAGGGCGCGCTTAAATTTTGGCACCGAACACATTTGTTGGGCACGGCACTCCTGATTTTTGTCGTGCAAATGCAAAATTAAATGAAACCCAAAATTTTAGGTGGGCCGTCACGTCCTCACAAGAGCTATAATATAGTCTCGGCCCGCCAAAAAAATGGGCCGCGATCCAACTATCGCACGCGTCTTGTTTCACACATCGCAAAAATACATTGTAGGAAGCTATACAAGAACTGTGATAAATTTATGGCCAGAAGAAATTGTTCAAAGTCAAACCTCTTGCTTGCAAGTGTAAGCCAAAGCCCACAGTAAAGAAAAAGAGAAAACTAACGTGGAGAGATGTTTAGGAACTGTATCCAAGTTTAAGCATACTAAGTAATGTGCTAGTGAAGATTTTCTACGATATATATCAAAGTATCAATGGCCGTTTTTATACTAGAGACGCATTATGCGTCTGGACGAACTTGGGCAAGCATTTGTTGTTCGTCTGGTTATGCGTCCTCAGTATAAAGACGGCGGCACAAGACGCATTATGCGTCTAGACGAACTATCTTCGATTCTTCGTCTTAAGAGACGCACAACCGATGATAGTTCGTCTAGACGCATAATGCGTCTTTATACTAGAGACGCATTATGCGTCTGGACGCATAATCCGTCTTCCACATTATTCGTCTAGTAATTATTCGTCCCGTCCCGCGTCTTTATACTAGACGAATAATGTAGAAGACGGATTATGCGTCCAGACGCATAATCCGTCTCTAGTATAAAAACGGCCAATATATGTATGGTTTAGTTGTGACGCTTTGAAGATGAAATACAGTCAAAGCAATCCATGCAGTCGGCTTCTGTCAAATAAAATCTCCGGAATAAAATGGTGCATGTGGGCACATTAGTGCATTTATATAGACTGTTTAATATGCACCTATTTAATATACAATACCCAAAATGACTGTCGTATGAACAAAAAAAAACATCATTACAAAAAAAAACATCTATATATACTGTGTACTGTAATAGAAATTTCAATCATGGAATAGATGCCAATATGCCCAACATCGATTTACTTGAACCGCCCTACTGCATGCTTACTCGTGTAAACATCCCTTGCATCTAAACATCAGTTAAACTGAGTTATTGAAAGCGAGTTAAAACATAGCTCATGCCAGCGTGAATCTGTAAATGTGTTTAGAAGTAGTAATTTGCGTCATTAAGTATCTTCAAATTAATGACGAAGTTTCTTGTGAGAAGATACAATCTTTAGTTATCTGCGGCTCATAGTTTATCCTTGGCTTAAACTACGCGGTAACCCACTTACCAAGGCATCCATAGAGTTCAACACGCATGCAGATTTGAACATTCCATTCAACGGGATGAAATCTCACGTATCTTACTTTAACAGTACGATTGAAGGAGTGAAATACTGTTGAAAATGAATCTGAGTTGCCAGTGAAAATCTAGAGAAATTGAAATTTGTAAAACAATTATTGTATTTCTAATGCTAATTGTGAACATGTTCACCTCTTAAAACTGTTCCAGAGTTGCTAATGTTGTTATATTGGAAAATTGCAAGGTTAAACTCATGAGAAATAGCATGCTGCATGCCAAATCTTGGATTCTAAAATATTGTACTATAACTTTATATTGAATATTCTAAAATATTGTACTAAAATATACCATATTGAACTGGCTTTAATTATTTAATGGATATATCGGTCAGCTTAAAACTTTCCTCCCCAGAGATTCAGTAATAGCCCTTACCATTATGGCCTAGTATTATTTCATAACTATAGAGTACCGAGAGAAAATATGAGTGCGGTGTTTGCCAGAGTCAAGCGAAAAGCACTCATCTCGCATGCATGTGGGAGAACTGCAAATAGCAGGAATGCTGAAACCCCGGTTGCAGCAGACAGCGGTAAATCTCATGTACCGATGGATTAATCACTGATTCACTGCATCACCAACCCCACGTACCACTGATCTAACGTACACGGTACTTTAACTAGTACAACATACCACAGGTTTAGCTTGTTTTGGTCTAGTAAAGTTAAACCAAGGACCTTCTTCTTCACGAAGTGAAACATAATACTTGGTAACCCAATGACTGTAAGGCTCTCTACCTCGACCTTGTGTGGCTACACCAGTAAGTTCACTATCAACTTCTGCAAAATAATACATGCATCAGGGGAAAACAATTGACAGAGAGGACGGGTATGTACATCATGGCAGACGAGGTTAGCGCTGCCCGAGGGAAGGGTAGTTACTTAGTAGGGTAGATTGGGTAACTTCTGTGACTGTGCGCTTGAAGCTGCGTGAATACTCGTGCGCTTGAAGCTGCGTGAAAACTCGTAGAGTTTGGCTGGTTTTCTCCTGTACTTCCGTCGAGTCTTCCTCCGTGCTCTCCGCCGGTTTTCCTCGTTCTCAATTTGTAGCCTTGCTCGTAAATTGATTATTTAGCACGAATTTCTTACCTAAGTCAATCTGTAGATATTGATTTTGATTATTAACTCTGGCGCACCATCCTGATTTCCGTGGTGGCTGATATTTAATATCGAGTCGTCCACGTGCACCTTGTGATAGATCATCATACGACGAAGAAGCAGTAATATCGTCATCTGGTATTTCACCTTGACCAATGCCAATGGCTTCTCCACAATCTAGCGGACACGAAAGTAGAAAAATCATAATATTTTTTTCGATAGTTTTATCACTATGCTGTCCAGCAGATTCTCCCTCGAGCGAGTGGACCGGATGCTGGATGAATTTTCATATTAAAATATAAAAACTTTAAATACATCCATTTCTATTCCAATCAAACTTCTATTCCAACCTTTATGCTAACATGCACTAATCCTAATCTAATTCAATGCTGAACCTTAACATAATCCTAACCTAAAGTAATTCTAACCCTTAATTTGTTACTGAGGGTTGAAATTACGAGAACCACTGAGTTGAACATTCTGCTACTTCCATGCGCGCCAAAAATTAAGTATTCAACATGTTGAATATTTATCTTGCAGACCACGAATGACAAAAGTACATCGCACAATTTCACCTAATAAAAATAATTATGTACACAATATAAAAAGGTGATCTTCCAACCGGCCGTGCTCACACAAGTAGAAATAAGAAATATATTATTTACAAGAAGATTATTTTAAATAGATAGAAACGGCAGGATTACTTGATGTTAATTTGCATGTTTCAAGTTAAACTTAAAACGTAGCAATTGCAATAGTTGTCGATTCTTTTAGCGATGCAGAAAGACGGCACCTCTATAGGAGAACTGATGCATTTTTCATATTATTAGTCGCTGGGGCACAGCCCGCAGCGACTCTAGGTTTCGGCTTCGATTTGTGTCGGATCTTGGATCGTTAATGAACGTTACGTCATTAATAAATAATAAAAATTACGTCATTACTATTCGTCGCTGGATTCAAGATGGCCGCTTTCTTCGGAGCGAATTTAGTTATTTAGTATCGACAATTTCATCGATTTTGTACATATTTTTTTTATTTTTCCGATGAAACTTTAAAGTTTTCCGATGAACCAGACTTTATAAAGCGAAAGTCATTTTAAGTGAGTAACTTCGATCGCTACAAGCTTGAAATAGACGACAAAAGTTCACAATATTTATATAATATTCGCAAACTGCCGTTTATTTGGATGCTTTTTTCTACGCTACGGCCCTTGATGCAAGCAATCCTGATACGGATAAGCGGTCAAAAGAACATGATGTAGCCTAACAAGACAGAAATACAAGGACCAGGTGTCAGGCGTGTAAACCTGTAACATTTAGTTATTTCATCATATATTGTGTTTTTAACGGGTAAATGTTGGGGCCAGAGTAATAGACTCTTTCAAGTTGAAGATGCCATAATGAAACACAATAGTGCAAGGGGTGCAAACAAAATGGAATTTCCTGGTGAGAATAATATATTGAATATGGCGTCCTCAAGTAAAATTGTATAGTGTTACGCAGAGTAAAGTAATAAAGTGGGGGGGGGGGTTAACTTTGAAAGTATCCAGCGTGTCAGGCTCTATCCTTGAAATAAAGCTGCCCTGCGAGCTAAGTCCTCTCCTATTTCTTCTCGGCACGGAGAAGCGCGAGAGACTCTGCAGAACTTGGGTAGAAATTCATTTGAGCATGTGCGAAGGTTGCTAAGCAACTGCCTATTTCCCAGAAGAAGATTTAATAAGTAGTTTCTGGTTTTGTTGTTTCCGGCATCAAAACCAGTTATTAAACCAGTATCAAACCTGAAATTATACATAATTATCCAAGTTTTTGGATTGTTGGCTCCACAAAGAATATACACAAGTTTTGCAGAATCTCTCTCGCTTCTCCGTGCCATGCCGAGAAGAAATATGAGACGACTTTGCTCACAGGGTAAAATAAAGCCTGCTACGGAGACAATAAATGCATATGATTCGTAGTACACACAAAATTCCCATTGGTCAGAATTAGTAGCTTTTCTTTTTAAGGTAATATCAAATTGTTGTTTACGTAATGATATTCCATACTTGTAATTGTACTTTAACTACTTTTGACCATGTTAATTGCTGCCTTTGCTGTTGATTAACACAGTCTTTAACCATTGTTATATTTGGTATGTAATTCCTGGCTGTTTAATTAATGAAAAATTATTGGAATATTTCTTTTTAAGATATTGGCGGAAGAGTTGTCTGTTATTGTCATATTTTAAAATTAGCTTTGATAATCTAATGTATCAGTTAATTCCAGCAGTTCCCATCCCCTCACCCCCGGGCCTTTGCAGCTTTTCCTAATCCAAGGGGCGGAGCTATTGCCAATATTTTTAGCCTAGCTGGGGGTGAGGATTTTGACGTTTTCCATCATGGGGGATTTGGCATATTTCACTGGAAAAGATATTGAATTTGTTTGCAAATGGCTTGGGGGCAGCCATTTTCTTCCCTGACATGCAAGCTACCTTGAAAGGACATTTTGGCAATTTCTGTTGTGGTTAACCAGCCTGAGGCGAACGCAATAAATTGTTATAAATGTTTTGTGAAGTGCACAGATTTTTCCTGGAGTTTGGGACAAGTCTTTATTTATGGAAGAGGGAGGAGGGGGAAAAGGTGGGGCCATGAGTATAAATAAATGATAAAGTAGTAGTTATAATATGTAGTAGGCTAACTTCCTAACTATAGGTAGTAGTTTAATAGTTTTTAATTAATTCTTAAGGTGTAACAAGACTCACATTGATAACAGCACTTTTGTGCTGAAATGTATATATCCAGCCTGTGTAAATATTCGTTATAATAATAATAAATAATAATAATAATAAGGGGGGTATTACATTTTTTGAGAAAATTGAAGGGTCAAAATGTTGAGTTGCAATAAATTTGAATAAAATTGCTGAATCCTGGTTTCCAATGTTCTCGAAGTTGGCTTAAGCCAGATAAATCCAATGAAATCACCGTACCCAGGGTTTCTGTACTTATTGCTCTCATATCTTCTGTGGAGGCTTGCAGGCTCTGGTTTCGAGATTGCTCTCAGAAGAGAGCATTCTCGTCCCCAGAGCCTTTCTTACGGAGCGCGACGAGGGGCTCTGGCCAAATCCACATCAAACTGGCATCTGATTGGCCACAACGAAGGTTATTGTTCTAATACCGGATATTGTTCTAATACCATGTTTTTCCGGTTTGGATTTGGCCAGAGCCCCTCGTCGCACTCTGTTGACCGCGCGTAAGAACGGTTCTGGGTACGAGAATGAAGAGAGAGCAACGAGCGCAGAAGCCCTGGGTACGAGGTTGATGATATATGGTAAGTTATTCTAATCAAGACGTGCCTTATTTTAATACCCCAGCGACTAAACGCTCAACAGAGCGTCTTGTTTATCTAAAAACCTGAACACTTATGAAAAAACTTTGTGCGTGCGCACGCCCTATTGCACACGCTCAAAATGGCAAAGTTGTCAATTTTTTGTTTTCGCAGTTTTATTACGCCATTTTATTTTTACGTTTCGTGCGAGTGTGTATTGTGCAGTTCGGACGCTTCTAAACTGTCTATCTCCCTAACTATTTTCCGCACGCGACGGATCATCTTATCCGCATGCAAACGCCCTGAAAAGGAATACCCCTGCATGCCTGAATACCTTTGTGTTCCATTGAACACACTGAGCCGCAATGACCGCCATAAGAGAGGAGACCTAGTCACTGGTAGCGGACTATTTTTTCATGCATGAAGTAAGACCGGCTACCAGGAATATACATGCTTTACCTTGCTACGGGAGAGAAAATGTTTGGAAAAAACTTTGCCACCATAATTGCCTTATTCTCGCCAATCCAAACGACCAACACGATTTCCACCAAGTCTTCTTACGGGTACCATTTGCACCCTCTAAGCTATGGGTACCATTTGTACCCCCTAACCCCAAGAAAAACGATGCCAGTTTTTTTTTAAAAAAGGTTTAGAGATGAGGAAAGTGACAAATTTCTTTTTTACTAACAAGATATTACAAAGAATCAAACAGCAATTTCCAATCGTCGTTGTATTTCAAAAGACAAAACTCTGGCAAAGCTTTTCTTGTATACATCCTGCCTCATGACCCTGTCTAAACTGTTGCGTTGCTGCGCCTGTAATGTGTGTGCACCAAGGCAGTATATTTACACAGAGGGAAACAATGGTAACATAAACGAATCATTAGAACTATGCAATAACCATACACTCAAATGTGCTCTTTTCAGATCCGTTTTCAAATTCAGAAGCTGATGAATTCCGAAAGTACAGTTTTTGCAAAGAAAATCATCGTAAACTTTCATTCAAGCTATCAAAGTCTACTGAACAGAAAATAGATCGAATGTGTAAATATACTAAACATTTATACCGCCAGGATTTATGCCGGATTTCATTGTATCCAGAACAACAAAACAAACAATGACCTGGGTACAATATCTACATATCTACAGCCTGTTCGCAGGCAAACAAGAAAGAACAGTACCTGAAAGTAGACATTTCTGTGACCTTTGTATATCCATCATAGTTTCTTTGTAGCCATTTAGTATGGTCACAAATATCGACTGCTGACCCCTTTCATTTCATTTCATCCGAGGCATCCAATTTCATCATCGTCTTTGTCGTTTGGTACATTTTCTTTAAATTCATAGCTTCATGATCATAACTACTGTCTTTGGTGTATTGTTGTAATTTGATCAGAAATAGAGGTATTTCCTCCTGTATTGCTCCTCGAGGCATATCATCTTGGTAACACGATATTTTATAAATCAATATTTCATAGCATGTTCAGTAATGATCTGTAAAACAAAGCAAAAAATCAATAATTAATTCAGATATAAAACTTTTGCTACAAAAAAATTAAATCGTTGTACTGTGCCCTGATGCATGCTTTACTTGAGTATTTTACTGTCCAATGCCAGACAATTTTATGCTTCATAATGAGACTGCCCATGTGCCTAGTTACCCATTAACTGCTTAGTGGACCCCCTGCTTAATAAAATTGTCTGACGTTAGACAGAGTTAAACAATATAAGTAGGTAAATTAGGGTGAAAATCAACTTAATGGCTGGCTAAGGGACAGGATGAAAGGTGGGATGATTTTCATGTACTGAAATAAGTCACTAGGCTTGAACAAAAGTTCAAGGATGGTTAGAAGAACACAAACTAGAACTATGTCATTATGTCACACAATTACAAGTCTATAATTAGGAAAATAATGTGAACCTTCTGAAAATTGGTCAAAAACTGTTCCCTTAATCAAAACATTTACTTCCAAATGATAAAAACATGAATTGGAATATTTTGGTCAAATTAAAAGGGGGGAACACACAATATTTTTGAAAAATTCTAGAAGTGCACAAACCTACTCCAAACTTTCTGAAAATTGTCCAAATCCATTCTTTTACTGTCGATTGCAATGGAAGTGTTGATAAAATATTGCTCCAATTCCTTTCCTAAAGTTGATCAATTCATTTGATACAAAATTGATCAACTTCCTGTTACTTTTGGATGAGCCAATTAGATTTCGTTTCAGAACCGATTGGCCAATAGGAAACGCACAGGAAGTAAAAAGAAATTTGAATTCGTATGAATTGATCAACTTGAGGAAATGAATTCATGCAATATTTTATCAACACTTCCATTGCATCGACAGTAATTGAAAGTAATTACTTTCAAGTGATAAAAAAACATCAATTGAAAAATATTGGTCATTTGCATCAGATGGTCCAATACAACATGCTTACAACTTGAGTTGCACTGTGCAAATCAAGCACACAACCCCCCTAAGTTGTCGCAGGTGAGTGTAAATCGGCCTGGAGGTGGTTCCCAACTAGGGTTTTACCCCCCCCCCCTCCTAGGTTACATTCTTTGTATATATATGTACATGCAGTATCAGGTGTAACAAGGAACTTCAAAACACGAACAGGCACGATACTGTGTAAAAATCTTTTTTCAAACAAAATGTATGAACTTTGTTTTGGTTAACCCTTTAAGTTGCATTACACCCTGATGCACCCTACTTTAGTATTTTACTCTGTCTAACACCACAGGATTTTACTTGTCAAGTGGACAGTGCTGCCACTCAATGGGTTAAAGCATAAAAAGAGTTCTAAAATCCACAACAATACTTGGGCGCGAGTCGCACAATGTTTTACAAAACAATAATCTAAATCTTGACTTTTTTGACAGCCATATGCAATGGTCACATTGCAAACATTGAAATATGCTTTGTTCAAGAATTTTGTCAAAAATAGACGCTGGATGGTATATTATCAGCAACACAAGCTTTAGTATTATTAGTGATGAATTAAGTCATTTCAACAGCAATGACATATTGAAATATTCTTAGCCCAGTCATCGCTTCACAAAGGAAGACTGGTAGGAATGTATCCCGGGTGTCCCAAAAAACTTGTGCTGTTTGATTTAATGTAACATAAAAACTACAAAAGCTATTACACTCAAATAGGTTTTATTGTATTTCTAAAGGGCTAACTTAGATTTTGATATGTAACATTTGAATAACCCCCCCCCCCCTGTATACGAGTTCCCCCTGTCTATATGCCCAACAAAAGCTCTTATAAATGAATATGATAATAATAATAAATAATAATAATAATATATAATTCGTTCATTTTCGTGTCTAACCCCCTGCTCCCGGAGAGACATTACAAATTTTACAATTGTATGTGATACAGATATTACATTACTGCTATCAATATAAACTATGAATCTGAAAATCCTCGGGCTTGGAAATCAATCTGTTTGAAATGTAACACTGCTCATAGTCTTGCTACTCCACTCTCTTGTTGTTCCTGATATAGCTGTATTTATTCTCATAAATAAAGTTATGTTATTGTATATTTATATAGTATTTGTAAAATAGAGTATAAAGTTATATTATTGTATATTTATATAGTATTTGTAAAATAGAGCCCACCATAATTGTTTTTTATACTGTTGTGGTAACACATGATATCATAAATTCATAACATATCTCAACTAAATTCATAACATATTTTTTGGGCACCCCATTTATAGAAAATCATGAATAGAAACAAAAATCTTAAATCATGCCTACTAAAAACTTCAAATTCCTATTAGTATCATACAGTATATGACAGAAACTCTATTTTTTCCTATATTACAAAATTAAGTATGTTTTTGTCATTGAGCAAGGATTGATATTAAATAATGCAGAAAATATTTAATGCTTGTATATTTTCTTTGTCGTGAATACTTCATTGTGCGCAGAATGATGTCAAGGCATAAAAAATACCTGTGGTTCCAGTTTCAGATCGTGAAAAAATTAGGGTTGAAACTAAAAATTTTTTGGAATATTTTTTTCACGGTTTTGGTAGTTTTTTGCTGGGCGATTTGCAGCAGTAGAGTCCCGACATCAATATTAACTAGAGATACTGTACATATTTCCTATGGACAAACTTAGGCAATTTACAGTTCAATAATTAGTGTGATACTAGCAGCCCGTAACCATCTGGAGAAAATAGGGTCGCACAGTCAATCTCGTTGAAAAAATAGTAGGGTCGGCAGAAAAAAAATAGGGTCAGTCTGGAACCGGAACCACAGGTATTTTTTTACGCCTAACCAAAGATCACAAACGTTACAAGAAATTATATATTTATATCTAATAATACCAAAGAATTTTTACTTTGTGAAATATTATATTTTCCTGATGGACGACTTATAATGCATACTGCTGTGGGACAATGTTAATCTGTGCACAGCAAGTGTGTTCTCTGCATAGTAAGCATGACAAGAATGCCATACTGTAAATACAACTTACTTCAAAACCCCCTGTCTGTACATATTAGAATGCTGCTTTGCCTGCTTGCCTCAGCCTCACTTGTCACACACCAATTATAAATTTTACAACCATATACTGCAGGGTTCGAATTAATTCTGAAAAAATGGTTCGTGAATTAATTTTTTTATTTTAAGGAAATTTTAAGGAATTCTCAAGGAATTTTCTCAATTGGAAGTTAAAAAGTGGAAGCAGTGCAATTTTCAAATATATAATATACATCGCAAACTCATAAAAGAAATAGAATTTTGGGTGGAATTATAATCGTTTTTAAGTACAATCTAACAACAATATCTTCAGAATATATGATCCTTCATCACATTTACAAAGAACTGAATTTATTATTGTATATTTTTATCAATTTGAGAGACATTTGATTTGTGATTTTGATCAATTTCTATGAAATTGGGTTCGTGAAAAATGAAAATTGATTCGTGATTCACAAATCACGAACCGTTATTTCGAACCCTGTGCTGTATTAGACATTATGTTGCAAATTAGTTGACTTGGGGATCCAATTTATAGAAATCATAAATAAAAACAATCCTAAATAATGCCTACTAAAAACTTGTTGAACCCAAACAACCCAACACAGAATGTAGTTGTATTAGATACATATACATTATAAAAACTCTATTATTTTCTATATCAAAAAATCTACAATCTATATATTATATGTTATGGTATTACATATAAACTAGTTGGGGCATTTATAGAAAATCATAAATGAAAATAAAATAAAAATCCTAAATCATGCCAAACTAAAAACTAAAACGCCCAAGTTAATTTGAGATTGACGGAAAACCACCTCAAAGCGATTTAAAAATGTACAGGTACATTTGAAGCCTGTTTCCTGATATATTTATGCCGCAATTTTTGCTTTTTCTAAACATGCATCATTTTTACAGATTAATCAGTCTGTCATATTGTTAGATTGTTACACTCCGCAATATTGTTTCCACTTAATTGGGCAGCCTTACTTTGTTCTTATTTGCAGGAAACCCCCATTTTATCACTATTATAAATATCCACTAACCTTACAACATCATCCTTCTTTAATAATCGTACCAAGATATCCCTTGTGATATTGCACATTTGCCCAAGATATCCCTTGTGATATTACACATTTGCCCAGGATAACCACCAGGAAAATTGCACATAGTGTAGGTTTGCCAGCGACATACATTGTCATCCATTCATTACAATGCCCAATGTCTCCTTGCAATAACCAAGACAA